AGGTTCCTTGGAGGACCCTGCAGTGGGTAATAGCAGAGCTCCGTCACCTGTCCCTTCAGAGAAGCATGATCAATTTGACCGAAACATGAAAGAAATGAATGATACATATCGAGCTAACTTTAGCCCTGATGCTAATACTGAGTCTTCGCAAAACAATGACCTTAAAAATCTATCGACAGTTTCAGATGAGGTAGCTGGTTCCCCTTCTGTTAATGCTGGTGAGGAGCATAGGAAGGCTGTTAATGATTCTAGTAAAGTAGCAGGGAATGCCAAACCCACTTCTCCTACGTTAGGAGATGACGCCAAAACTGGAAAAAGACATTGTGGATCACACAGCTCAATGAATGCTTTGATTGAAAGTTGTAACAGGGACTCTGAGACTAATGCATGTATGGCTGGTGCGGATGATGTTGGAATGAATCTTCTAGCTACTGTAGCTGCTGATGAAATGTCCAAATCCCCTGTTGCATCACCCTCTGTATCCAGGGTTTCAGATTCCTTGATGAATGATAGCTCCATAGCACCAAGAATCATAAATTCTTTGGATGGCTTACCTCGCGAACAAGCTGAACCTATTGCCAAGAATTCCATGGTTGATATTGAGCAACATGTCAATAGTAGTGGCGAGCAGTTGGCGGCTTTGGAGAATGTGAATGATTCTAAGCCGGGAGATCTTGATGAGAACTCCGACTCAGAAATCGAAGAATTGCAAAGGTTGGTGGATCAGTGCTTAGGGAGCAATGAAAATTCAGATGATGTTGTTGCTCCAAGTACTGTGCCCACAACAGGCATTGGAGAAAACATGTCTGATGATAGTGATAGTGGGGTACTTAGTGACCTAAAGACTGATGTTGCATCAGAGACAGAACGAGTGGCAGATACAACGAAGAAGACAGGAAACTCTTTCTTAAGTGAATGTAAAGCCATTGGCAGATGTCAGAATGCAGATTCTTTGGTTGCTGAACATTCACAGCCGGACAGTGTTGGTGATAGTACGAAAGAAAAGAAACCGAAGGTGACAGTGAGTTCTGAGCTTGTTAATGAATTGGGTGAACACGTGTCAGTTTTGTCAGACTTTACCAAGAATATGAGTACTGCAAATGTTGATAGACCGATGACTGAAAATGCATCTGATAATGATTGTGGGACAGTTAAGGATCAAAAGGCTGATGCTGCATCAGTGACAGATCGCATTTCAGATACAGCTGAAAGGGTGGAAACTTCTGTGCCAGCTGAAAGTAAATTCATCGAGATAAGTCCTAAAGTAAATTGTCTGGCTGTTGCCAATTCTCCCACTGATCTCGTAGGTGAGAACAAGAAGGAGCAGAAAGCTCAGGTAGTCTTGAGTTCTGATATACCAGTTTCTTCTGGGTTCTCCAAGGGCATGGCTGCGTATGTTGATAGATTGGTAACAGAAAAGATCAATGACATGGGGGTTACTCATATTAACCAAATAGAAAAAAAGAGGAACAAGCGTGTGACAGCTCATATGGACTCATCTGCAAGTAACGGTGAAGTTGAGCATGTAGAGGCGTCTCAAAAGAGTATTGAAGTTGATAAATGGTGCACCGCGGCCTTAGATACTCAAGTAGTATCACCTAAAGTTGCAGAAGATTGTAGGAGACCAAATGGGTCTAGGGTAAGTGGTGCTAATGGAGATGAAGCAGAGGAATGTACATCTGTTGCCAGCGATGTTCCTTCAGTTTCAGAATCAGCAAGGTCAGAGATGGAGGGAAGAGTTGAATTTGACCTGAATGAAGGTTTTAATGGGGATGATACACGAAACGGAAGTTCCAATAATTTCTCTGGATCTTTGTCCATGACACCTATTCCTTTACAACCCACTCGACTTCCTGCATCCATTACTGTTGCTGCTGCTGCAAAGGGTGCATTTGTTCCACGTGACGATTTGTTGAGAAACAAAGCAGCTGTTGGCTGGAGAGGATCTGCCGCCACTAGCGCCTTCCGGCCAGCCGAGCCAAGAAAAATGCAGGAGGTGGTGCCACTAGGCATGCATAATGTGTCTTCGTCGGATGCTTCTACAACCGCTGGCAAGCAAACGAAGACGTTTTTGGACTTTGACCTAAATGTACCCGATGAGAGAGTTCTTGAAGATCTAGCTTCCCAAAGATCAGCCAATCCCACAAATTCCTCTGGTGGCCTGGATCTTGATCTAAACAAACTTGATGATCCGAATGATATGAATAATTACACAATAAGCAGCGGTCATCGGTTAGACTCATCTTTTCAACAAGCAAACTTTTCTGGTGGTCGTAGAGATTTTGATTTAAACGATGGACCCGCTGTTGATGATTCGAGTGTTGAGTCATCTATGGTTTTTACTCAACATTCCCGAAGTGGCTTGACAACACAGCCAATGGTCTCTGGAATAAGAATGAATGGTGAACACATGGCAGCTGGCTTCTCATCTTGGTTTCCTGCTGCTAACAATTATTCAGCAATGAGTATTCCTCAAGTCTTGCCTGATCGAGGCGATCACCCTTTTCCAGTTATTACAAGCAATGGACCACAGAGGATGGTGGGTCCAACATCCGGAGTTTCATCAACGCCTGATATGTACAGAGGCCCAGTTTTGCTATCTTCTCCGGCAGTTTCATTCCCGCCCACAGCATTTCAGTATCCCGCGTTTCCTTTTGGGACCAGTTTTCCTCTTGCCTCAGCAAATTTTCCAGGTTCTTCGACTCCATACATGGACTCTTCATCAAGTGGCAGGCTTAGTTTCCCCCCTGTCAACTCTCAAATATTGGGTCCAGGAGTTGCCATCCCGTCAAATTATCCAAGGCCTTATGTTGTAAACCTCCCAAACGGTAGCAATGGAGGAGTTTCGGACAACAACAGTGCAAAATGGTTTAGATCAGGTCTTGACTTAAATTCCGGACCAGGAGGGCATGAAACTGATGCGAGAGATGAAGTAGCACTTGTACAAAGACAATTATCTTCCTCAGGTTCCTTACCTTTGAAAGATGATCAGGCAAGAATGTACCAAATGTCAGGTGGTTCTCTCAAGAGGAAGGAACCAGATGGTGGATGGGATGGATATAAGCAATCCTCATGGCAATAGCAAACCTCAGAATCTCTTTGTAGGCCGCCGCTCTAAGCATGTAAGCATCTTGAAACATATTAGCTCTGTTCATGATGATGTTTTTCAGCACAAGTCTCTCACTTGATCCATGTTTATAGGCACGTTGTGTAGCTCATTGCGTTCTGAAGCAGGAAAGTAAAAAAGCACAAGTCTCTTATACATGTGTCTATGCTTTTTTAAGAAACGAAGCATTGAATTTGATGGAGACATGTGTTGTGTGTTTCAGTTTCTGGTCTTTTCTTTCTTCTGATATCATTTGGGTAGGAGTATGGATGTGCTTGGATACTTAACAATCTTAGAGATGGCTTTAAAATCGTTAAAAGACTAAACAATGTTAAGTTCTGATTATGGGTCCTCAAAAACTGGTAATCTCTTTTTTTTTTTTTGCTGTAAGGTTGAAGCTTGAAACCTTTGGAACTGCTGTCTAAAAAATTTTGAAGACAATGTGTCATTGCCCATTGGAACCAACTGGAATTAGCCTGTGACTAGTGTAATATGAGAGTCCTATGTAAAAAGTTTTAATGTCTATGTCAAGAGAGACAAAGTTTGGTCAGTTGTACTTTGAGGACAGTGATTTGACACTGGACAATGTAACGACAAGAGATCACATAAAAAAACAAAAAAAAATTACGACGTAGGGCAGGCCATTCGAACCAAAAATTCGACCGGATTTAACCGGCTCTATTCAGAACTGTAAACCCAAATGAAATAAAAAAAACAGAGCCAAAACTGTAAGATTCTATTTATATTTTCACTCAACTAATAACAATTCAACTTCAAACAGAAGTGAAATATAATACTCCTAGAATCACAATTTTGTTGCAGAATGGAGAGAGTTGGCATTTGACCGACCCGGTCGCCCGTTTCAGTTCCACTACCCTTCTCACATTGTCATGAGTCCTAATAAGTTCTTGGAACCAATGGTGAGTGTCTACTAAGTTCTTGGAACCAATGGTGAGTGTCTACTATTTATTTGACGTTTGCCTTTTGATAATATCTACTCTATTGATCTCAACCTATGTCTTTAATTTATTTTTTAATCTTATTTTTACTTTTTTAAACTTATGTCTTTAGTTTCTGTTTTATTTGTAGGTTTGATTCAAATTGTCGAACGAACAAAATTTACATGTAGATGTAATACGAGATCATGGCAGTGATAATAGGAAACTTTTTGGAGAAGGATGTAATAGTACCAAAGTGAGAAGTAATGAAATGGAAATCAAAGAGACAAAATTATACCCCCCAAAAAAGGATGGTTAAGACGTGCACATTTATTCGAGGATATGCGCAACATCACAATGAAGCACTTACAAACTCAAAGTAATGTTATTTCTCTGCTTGGATTTGAAAAGGCTTTAGAGATTGATCAAAAATTATCAACAGAATTGTGGAAAGTAGCTCTTTAGTATTCATCAAAATTCATGTCTTTCTCATATAGAATTGTACAAAACTAAAATACAAGTCCCACGGGATAGCCTCTAGTTAGAACAATAAAAGGAGAAAGTCAAAAGAGCTATTAACAGGGGAAGGCCAAAACTAAACCACAACAATCTCTCAATGTCACCTGAAAATAAAACAAACAATTAAAAAAAAATTGCTGCCCGAAAAGCTTGCCCGATCTGCCCGACTCCTTCCAAAGAAGTTTACCCTTTTGCCCCGTTTCTCTCTCTTCCTTTTTTTCCTTCGATTTTAATTTTTATTTTGCTCTCCGTTTCGCGATTTTCATTTTTTGATAAAAACTCTCTGCCTGGATCGATTTGTGTTTGGTCTCGCTCGTTTACGGATTTTTCGTTCTTCTCGTTTGCGGATCTTCGCGGTTTGGTTGGATCGGCTATTTCAAACAAACAAAAAAACCTAGAAGGGAGGAAGAGATTCTTCTTCTATTCGTCGCGGAATTAGGGTTTCTCTTTTGGATGAATTTGATGATGGTGAAGCAGTGATTCTGAAGAAGAAGAAAGGGTTTTGTGTGTTACCTTAAATGTTGTTCGAAGGAGAAGATGAAAGAAGGCTATGCATGGGAGGGTTTGTCAGGTTGATGAGAGGCAGAAGAAAGGTCATCGTCGGCTTATGTTTAGACCTCCTTCTCGTGTAATTTCGAGCGTCCACGCTTCTTGTTCTTCGTCTCTCTCCATTTCTTCTTCTACTTCCTTTTCTAAGGTAATTTCAATTCGTAAAGTCCGCATTTTTATGCCTTTTGTTGTGTCCAATTCAATCGATGAGGGTTAAATTTCGTGCCTTTCTATCTATGATTGATTGCCTTTGATTGATCAAAGTTCTGATTTTTATTGATGGTTTTGTATTGGGACTCTCTAGGACGGACGCAGAATTAGTGTTGGTGACTGTGCTCTCTTTAAACCACCGCAGGATTGCCCTCCGTTTATTGGTTTGATTCGTTTGGTCATTCCTGAGAAAGAAGGCAAGTTTAAGCTGCGTGTGAATTGGCTGTATCGACCTGCGGAATTGAAGCTTGGCAAAGGCATCCTTTTGGAGGCTCAGCCTAACGAAATCTTTTATTCCTTTCACGAGGATGATATACCGGCTGCATCCTTATTGCATCCGTGTAAAGTTACCTTTCTCCCAAGAGGCGTTGAATTGCCATCTGGAATCTCTTCATTCGTGTGTTGGCGAGTTTATGATGTTATGAACGATTGCATTTGGTGGCTGACTGATCAAAATTATATAGATGTGAGAGAGATTATACATATTAACCAGTTATTCTCTTCTGAATTCAATCTATTTATCTTTGGTATTAACATCTTTATCGTTTTCTCCAGGAACGGCAACAAGAAGTAGATAAGTTATTGTGTAAGACTCGTTCCGAGATGCATACCACACTACAGGGTGCTCGTTCTCCTAGGGTGAATAGTCCGACAACATCGCAAGTGAAAGCTGGGGCAGATGGCATGCAGAACAGTAACTCCTTTTCTTCACAGGGTAAGGGAAGGAAGAGAGAGCGTGCTGATCAGGGTTCCCAATCTGTGAAACGGGAACGTCCAAGTCGGGTTGATGATAGTGGTTCTGGTTTCCTAAGAACAGAAGGCAGTTTGAAATCTGAAATTGCTAAAATTACAGAAAAAGGCGGGCTAGTTGACTCTGAAGGGGTTGAGAGATTGGTGCAGCTCATGCTGCCTGAGAGAAATGAGAAGAAAATAGACTTGGTTTGCCGATCAATTCTTGCAGGAGTTGTAGCAGCAACAGACAAGTTTGATTGCCTCAGTCGTTTTGTCCAGCTCAGGGGATTACCTGTTTTTGATGAGTGGCTACAGGAAATTCATAAAGGGAAAATTGGGGATGCGAGCAGTCCCAAAGACAATGATAGATCAGTGGACGATTTTCTCTTGATCTTACTTCGTGCTCTTGATAAGCTACCTGTGAATCTCAATGCTCTACAGACTTGTAACATAGGAAAGTCTGTTAACCATTTGCGATCACATAAGAATTCAGAAATTGGGAAAAAGGCAAGGAGCTTGGTTGATACGTGGAAGAAACGTGTTGAGGCAGAAATGGATGCAAAGTCTGGATCCAATCAGGGTGCATCTTGGCCTGGAAGACTTCGTCAGTCTGAAGTTTCTCATGGGGGTAAAAATTCAGGTGTATCTGCTGATGCAACAAAGGCATCAACATCACATCTACATCCTTCTAAGTCCGTGTCCGTCAAAATACCGTCAGAAAACAGCATGAAGTCTGCAACTACATCTCCAAGTTCTACTAGATCAGCCCCATCACCTGGAACAGGTGTTTCGGTTGTTAATGTTGGGCAGCAAAGAAATACTGGTGCACTTCATAGAGAAGCTGGGCTGAGCAGGAGCTTCTCATCGCATAGAACTGCAACTTCGGAGAAAGTATCTCAATCAACTCTGGCCCCTGAAAAGACTTGTGACATACCAATGGCTGAAGGTTTCAGTAACAAGTTGATCGTTAAGCTGCCAAAACGTGGTCGCAGTCCGGCACAGAGTGTTAGTGGAGGTTCCTTTGAGGACCCTGCAGTGGGTAATAGCAGAGCTCCGTCACCTGTCCCTTCAGAGAAGCATGATCAATTTGACCGAAACATGAAAGAAATGAATGATACATATCGAGCTAACTTTAGCCCTGATGCTAATACTGAGTCTTCGCAAAACAATGACCTTAAAAATCTATCGACAGTTTCAGATGAGGTAGCTGGTTCCCCTTCTGTTAATGCTGGTGAGGAGCATAGCAAGACTGTTAATGATTCTAGTAAAGTAGCAGGGAATGCCAAACCCACTTCTCCTACGTTAGGAGATGACGTCAAAACTGGAAAAAGACATTGTGGATCACACAGCTCAATGAATGCTTTGATTGAAAGTTGTAACAGGGACTCTGAGACTAATGCATGTATGGCTGGTGCGGATGATGTTGGAATGAATCTTCTAGCTACTGTAGCTGCTGATGAAATGTCCAAATCCCCTGTTGCATCACCCTCTGTATCCAGGGTTTCAGATTCCTTGATGAATGATAGCTCCATAGCACCACGAATCACAAATTCTTTGGATGGCTTACCTCGCGAACAAGCTGAACCTATTGCCAAGAATCCCATGGTTGATATTGAGCAACATGTCAATAGTAGTGGCGAGCAGTTGGCGGCTTTGGAGAATGTGAATGATTCTAAGCCGGGAGATCTTGATGAGAACTCCGACTCAGAAATCGAAGAATTGCAAAGGTTGGTGGATCAGTCCTTAGAGAGCAATGAAAATTCAGATGATGTTGTTGCTCCAAGTACTGTGCCCACAACAGGTATTGGAGAAAACATGTCTGATGATAGTGCTAGTGGGGTACTTAGTGACCTAAAGACTGATGTTGCATCAGAGACAGAACGAGTGGCAGATACAACGAAGAAGACAGGAAACTCTTTCTTAAGTGAATGTAAAGCCATTGGCAGATGTCAGAATGCAGATTCTTTGGTTGCTGAACATTCACAGCCGGACATTGTTGGTGATAGTACGAAAGAAGAGAAACCGAAGGTGACAGTGAGTTCTAAGCTTGTTAATGAAATGGGTGAACACGTGTCAGTTTTGTCAGACTTTACCAAGAATATGAGTACTGCAAATGTTGATAGACCGATGACTGAAAAAGTGTCTGACATTGATTGTGGGACAGTTAACGATCAAAAGGTGGATTCTACATCAGTGACAGATCGCATTTCAGATACAGCTGAAAGGGTGGAAACTTCTGTGCCAGCTGAATGTAAATTCATCGAGGTAAGTCCTAAAGTAGATTGTCTGGCTGTTGCCAATTCTCCCTCTGATCTCGTAGGTGAGAACGAGAAGGAGCAGAAACCCCAGGTAGTCTTGAGTTCTGATATACCAGTTTCTTCTGGGTTCTCCAAGGGCATGGCTGCGTATGTTGATAGATTGGTAACAGAAAAGATCAATGACATGGGGGTTGCTCATATCAACCAAATAGAAAAAAAGAAGAACAAGCGTGTGACAGCTCATCTGGACTCATCTGCAAGTAACGGTGAAGTTGAGCATGTAGAGGCATCTCAAAAGAGTATTGAAGTTGATAAATGGTGCACCGCGGCCTTAGATACTCAAGTAGTATCACCTAAAGTTGCAGAAGATTGTAGGAGACCAAATGGGTCTAGGGTAAGTGGTGCTAATGGAGATGAAGCAGAGGAATGTACATCTGTTGCCAGCGATGTTCCTTCAGTTTCAGAATCAGCAAGGTCAGAGATGGAGGGAAGAGTTGAATTTGACCTGAATGAAGGTTTTAATGGGGATGATACACGAAACGGAAGTTCCAATAATTTCTCTGGATCTTTGTCCATGACACCTATTCCTTTACAACCCACTCGACTTCCTGCATCCATTACTGTTGCTGCTGCTGCAAAGGGTGCATTTGTTCCACGTGACGATTTGTTGAGAAACAAAGCAGCTGTTGGCTGGAGAGGATCTGCCGCCACTAGCGCCTTCCGGCCAGCCGAGCCAAGAAAAATGCAGGAGGTGGTGCCACTAGGCATGCATAATGTGTCTTCGTCGGATGCTTCTACAACCGCTGGCAAGCAAACGAAGACGTTTTTGGACTTTGACCTAAATGTACCCGATGAGAGAGTTCTTGAAGATCTAGCTTCCCAAAGATCAGCCAATCCCACAAATTCCTCTGGTGGCCTGGATCTTGATCTAAACAAACTTGATGATCCGACTGATATGAATAATTACACAATAAGCAGCGGTCATCGGGTAGACTCATCTTTTCAACAAGCAAACTTTTCTGGTGGTCGTAGAGATTTTGATTTAAACGATGGACCCGCTGTTGATGATTCGAGTGTTGAGTCATCTATGGTTTTTACTCAACATTCCCGAAGTGGCTTGACATCACAGCCAATGATCTCTGGAATAAGAATGAATGGTGAACACATGGCAGCTGGCTTCTCATCTTGGTTACCTGCTGCTAACAATTATTCAGCAATGAGTATTCCTCAAGTCTTGCCTGATCGAGGCGATCACCCTTTTCCAGTTATTACAAGCAATGGACCACAGAGGATGGTGGGTCCAACATCCGGAGTTTCATCATTTACACCTGATATGTACAGAGGCCCAGTTTTGCTATCTTCTCCGGCAGTTTCATTCCCGCCCACAGCATTTCAGTATCCCGCGTTTCCTTTTGGGACCAGTTTTCCTCTTGCCTCAGCAAATTTTCCAGGTTCTTCGACTCCATACATGGACTCTTCATCAAGTGGCAGGCTTTGTTTCCCCCCTGTCAACTCTCAAATATTGGGTCCCGGAGTTGCCATCCCGTCTAATTATCCAACGCCTTATGTTGTAAACCTCCCAAACGGTAGCAATGGAGGAGTTTCGGAAAACAACAGTGCTAAATGGTTTAGATCAGGTCTTGACTTAAATTCCGGACCAGGAGGGCATGAAACTGACGGGAGAGATGAAGCAGCACTTGTACAAAGACAATTATCTTCCTCAGGTTCCTTACCTTTGAAAGATGATCAGGCAAGATTTTATCAAATGTCAGGTGGTTCTCTCAAGAGGAAGGAACCAGATGGTGGATGGGATGGATATAAGCAATCCTCATGGCATTAACAAACCTCAGAATCTCTTTGTAGGCCGCCGCTATAAGCATGTAAGCATCTTGAAACATATTCTACACTCTCTTCTTCTACGTTTTTATTATCTCCTGTTTCTCTCTAGCTCTTGTTCTGACTTTTTGTTTGGACTTCCTCTTTGTTCCGCTAGGTACTTTGGAGATAATAGCAGATGCGACGCCACAAAGGGTTTGTTTATCGGGATGTAGAAGACTACGATGGACCGTTTTGTTCATAATATCTTGAGCAACCAGCATCTTAGAACTTCGTTTTACCAGCATCATGTAGATACCTCCAACAGTTTGGGATTTTCACAGGCATGGCTTGAAAACTCTCAGTGAAACCAAGACCATCATCATCACTTTGTTTATTTGCTCTCTATCTCCCATACAAAGAGATAAGAGAGTTTTGACAGGTGAACTTTTAAAAAGAACCACACACTCGTTATGTCACTCTTTGGCTCGTCTTCTCTAAGATCTATGTATTCAGACCAAAAGGCAGGAAGATAAAAGAGAGTTTAGCTTTATGTTTTTTTTAGTTCTGCTGTAAAAAAAAAATATGCTGATGGTCTTAATGCATTATTGGTATTAGGTTGAGAGAAAATCTGCCATGGATTGTATTTTATAGTCAGCATCTATGAATCACCCTTTTGTAGATTATTATTCTTCTTCTTTGTTTTGATGATACAAGAAGAAATAGATAAATTAAATTTGCTAGACTCGGTTCCTAGATGCTTACAACATGAGTAATGTGTCTTGGGCTGATGCTTCTACAACCGTTGGCAAGCAAACGAAAACGTTCTTGGACTCTGACCTACCTAAATGTACCCTATGAGAGAGTTCTTAAAGATCTGGTAGATTCATCTATGGCTTTTACTCAACATTCCCGAAGTGGCTTCTCATCACAGCCAATGATCTCAGGAATAAGAATGAATGGTGAAAACAATTATTCAGCAATGAGTAATTGTGATGGTCTTAACGAATTGTTTATTAGTACGAGGCTGAGAGAATAAATCTGCCATGGGTTGTATTATATATTCAACATCTTTTAATCACTGATTTGTAGATTGCTATTCTCTACTTGTGGCTAGCTATGATTGATCAACTGATCCATAGTTTCTCTATTTTATTCTCTGTTGCATCAAAATGGCTAAATATATTGCAATAACAGGTTTGAAACAAATACACATAACTGAATTAATAATAAGCTCTCTACCTCCCTCTCTCACTCTCTTTCTCTCTTCAAGGTAACTATTGATTGATTAGAGGCTAATAATCTCTTACATGATTCAATCTATATGTCTCTCATTTATCACACATTCTCGAAAGTGGAGTTTAAAATCATCAGACTGAGTTGGGTCATCATCATCAGTGCCGAGTCACTATCCTCCCACACAGAACATTTCTGCACAAAGAAAAAACAAAGGTGAAATCAGTACCCTTCATAAGATTCTAGATGCAGAGTTTGTAAAGATTTGTATATATACTCACGATAAACAACCGTGATTCGACTTTTGCTTCTTCTTCTTCTTCGTCTTCTCCTTTTGTTTAACCAACGGTTTGATCACTTCCTTTATTGCAGAATCAAAAACTGCTTTCACATTCTGCAAAATATAAACTTCATCGCTTGTTAATCCGAATAAAAAGAGTAACATAAAGAGCTGCCTAATATACCTGTTGAGTTTTTGAGCTACACTCAATGTAATACGTTGCGCCAATTAGCTTACGCAATTCCTCTCCCTGTCAAATAGGAATGTTTATTTAATACCATCAAGCCTTATAATGGAATTATATGAAATCTAAAGTAAAAAAAAAACAAGGCTCTAAAACCAAACCTGTGCTGTAGTTACAGGGGATAGTCCAGGATGGTCAGCCAAATAATGCTTATCTTCACGAAGATCTGCACCAATATTGTAAGATTCTTAACTATGTAAAATCTAAAGGGTTAAGAGGAATCTGTTGCTAAATGCTCACTGGTTTCTTACCTAATTTGGTACCGACAAGGACTAGGGGAACTCCTGGGGCAAAGTGTTGGAGTTCAGGGATCCACTGACTCAGAAAGAAGAGTCATATAACGTTAGCGATGACTCAATACTGACATTTTAGAGTCTTATCGTTTTCAACATAATGATGGATCCATTTTTTCAATCAAACCTTTTTAAAAACATTCTCGTAGCTAGCTCGGCTGACTAATGAGAAAGACAAGACGAAAACATCTGCTCCTCTGTAACTTAAAGGCCTTAATCTGTTATAGTCTTCTTGCCCTGCAAACAAAGGATATGTGTAACCTCATAAGACAAAGCTATTCAAAACATAAAATGGATCTCATCTATCAACCAACAATCTTAAATCAACCAAATCAAAGAAGTTGACTAATAAGAATGTTCTAAACCACTATAGGATTCAAGAAGTGTTCATACCAGCAGTGTCCCAAAGCCCTAAATTGACAGTGGTGCCCTCAACAACAACATTTGCACTAAAGTTGTCAAAAACTGTTGGTATGTAGTCCTGTTACAAACAATTCATCAAATCAATCCACAGTTTCAATAGATCAAATCAAAGCATATATACACATAATAAAAATAATAATATCATGAAGAAAAGTCTGACGAATCCAGAGGATGTTAGGAGAAAAAAGATAACATAAAGCTGGACTATACACAAAAGCTGCAAAAACCCAGATGCAAAATGGATCTCGTTTCATGCACAATCCCTAGGAAAAGGAGCTAACTTTGAAATACCCAGATAGATTCTAAGAACCTTTATGACAAGAAGAAGCTAAATTTAGTAGACCCAGATACTAAAATTGATTAAAATTTGAGCTAAATCTGAGAAACCCAGATGAGAGTCTTGATCAAAATTTCAGAGAGAAAGAGAGGTTTTTTTAAGAAAACTCACAGTAGGGAATTTATTGCTGGTGTAGCAGATGAGCATACAGGTTTTACCAACGGCACCATCACCAACAGTCACACATTTGATGAACTTTGAAGCACTTGATGCCATTTTGATCTCAAACAAACATAGAAAGCAAAAAAACAAGAAAGAAGCAGAAGGAAGAAGAAGAAGAAGAAGAAATAGAGAGATAAATGAAGTGAGATTACTTGAAAAGAGGAGTAAAAAATAAATAAAACCCACTTTAGTACATAGAAGAAGGTAGGGTTTGTTGCACACATTTATGGCCTTTTCCAATTTTTTTTTTCTGTTTGCTTTTTTCAATATTTCCAATTATAAAAAAGAAATTAAATATATTTGTTTATTGGTATTTGGTGGCTTGTTTTTGGTTTGAACTTGAAGATAGAGAAGGAGCGGTGATGACTCACATGATCCATCTTCTTTGCTTTCCTTTTCCAAATTCTTATAGTTCATTTATTACTCTAACGAGCAAAATTTGCATTGGAATTTGTTAACCAAATGTTGGTGGTTCAATCTTGTTTTTTTTTTTTTTTTTTTTTTTATTGTTAAAAAAAAATTGTGTTTATTACACTTTTATTGGATTGTAAGAAATTGAAGTAATGTGTATTATATAGTACGGCTTTACGAATCAAATAATAACGGAAGTTACCTATTCGGCAAGTTGATAATAGTGTCACGTTGAGCTACGCAGTGACAAGTGAAGATGGCTATACCATATTTGTATACATTAACATGTACTGTCGAATACATGTTTTGCTATTTTTGTTTTTCTCTCTATCGAGTTTACATTTTTACATATCAAATAATATATATAGCATAACTTACAAGCTAGGGTTACATAATATATAAAATAATAGTACTATATCATAGCAACGAAATCAGAACAACAAAAATTTATAGAAAATCACTAAAACCAACCTTTCAACATAACTTATATCACAATTCACAAGTGTAAAACTGATGATTCTAATAATGTCATTTTATTTTAGGAGTTTCATTTATTATACTTGGATAAATTGGCTTTTTAGTGTGGACCTACATTTTAAAAAACTTATCATCTGATTTAATTTACTCAATAATGTAAAATTGGCCAACAAGAGTTTCGTTGGCAACAACCAGCAATAAAAATTCTCAGGATTCACAAAGGATCATAGCAACTTTTAATACAGTTATTAAAAATTGAATACTCTTACCAAATAGTTCCTTTTTGTTTGTTTATGGATATAATTGTACAACTCCTGGTTTAGAAAGTAAAAGTGTTTTTGACATGTGTTTAAATAATCATTTATAGGTGGATGTTGGAGCCAAACTTGTGTGAACATCTACCAAAAGCAGTAGATAAATGATTAATTAAAAAAAGTATACTGTAAGTTAATGAGTAATACCTACGACTATATCGACGGCGACGCAACCACCATAAATATGAAAATGCAAAAGTATTGTTAATTATTAGAGAGGTCTTCTCAAGGAGGACCACGGGGGCTTATTGCTCTCTGGTCCAAAGGTGTATTTTTATAGTAGTATTTGCAAGTTATTCCCACCAAAACCTCCAAAATATATGTATAAAAGTCGATGATTAATAATACAATAAAATGACAAAAGTATGGCCTAAACCAAATAAATATACTAGTAAAAACGAAAATCGCAAAATGAGAGACTAGTTATCATTTAACTAAGGGAATCGCAAAATGAGAGACTAGTTATAGATAAGTGAATCCATAACTTTTGCCTTTTGGTCTCTACGAAAGATTAGTAGACATGTAACAGGAGCATATGCCGTGCTGGTGTAAGGATAACGTCATTGAAAATAAACAAGAACAAACGATATATATGTTCCGCAAAAGTAATGAAGAAAGTGAGAAAACTAATAAGAATAACCCAAAAGAAAACACTTGATGCGGGTTAAAGCAAAACATGATTAACAGTGGAATCCCATAGATTGAAAAAGACTTGAAGATCACAAATCCAAGTTTTGGCAGTAAGAAATATGGTAAATTGGATTTGAGTTGGGTTAACACTGAAGTAAAAAGTTGTTTAGAAAATCATAAACTCAACAAACAAATGCAACGGGCCCGACAACTCAATATATGGGCCGCGTCCGAAACGAGCCGACCCGCTTAATGAAAGTCCCTTGCCAGGTCACGTGTTTCCCCTCTTGTTCCTATCGGTCCCTTTTATTGTGTTCTTTAATTTGCTGTTTATTTTGATCTTATATGAAACATTCTTATGAATTTTTTTTTTGTGTTCCTGCCACAATTTTGGATGCTCGAAAATGTTAAGAGATCTCGTGATCCAGTGATTGCTATCATGACATTTTCGTGTCTAACACAATCCAATATCAGGGAGAAGAAACATACATGTTAGTATTGAAATGATTCTCTACATACGCAACGTTGTTTTAGGGGCACACGAGCCCCAAGGACTCTTTCTTTCTAATGTCAAAAATTTGAAGGTCAATCGATTCCTCTGCATGATTTCTCTCTATAGAACATGTAAATTGAGAGAACAAAAATGTATTTGAAAGTTTCGATAATGATAGTCATTCATTTATGGCTTCCACTAGAAAGGTTTCAAGTTTGAATTTGGAAAAGTGTTGTTGATTCAATGACATACCCCCCCAACTATTGATAGTTTAGTCCTCTTAGTTGGCTTTAGTAAAATTAACGGTAACTATATTTTTGAAAACCAGAAAAGTTTTTAGTGGTATTAATAAAATGGGTATAGAATTTAAAAATAAAGAAATCATGTCAAGCAACCATGATTAACTTAATCATTACTTCCACATATGCTAAACAGCTAATTTACATAAATTATATTAGCCACAACAAGTTTAATATCGCCAAAAGAGAAACAAAATATTGCTTCTCTTTCAAGAAACAGATAATTTCGTTGATAAATATATAAATTAAACTGGGGAAAAAAATAAAAATAATTCAAAGTTGATCATATTAATTATATAAACAGAGTAATTAAACAAAAAAGAATAAAATAAGGACACGCAATTACCGCGACAGACCCCCAAAAAAGATGTAAACCAACCAGTCAACCATTTTGACAGCATATTCGCCGCCGCCGCCAGAAACGCAAACGCGTTTCTCACACGCGCCCACTAACTTTCAGTTATCTCATTACGCGGCGTCAACGCAGACAAAGACGTCGGCGAAATCGCCGGAGCTTTACCTGAGTAGACCGGAACAGAAGCAAATCGAGTAGAGAAGCTTCGCAATCCACCTAATCCGACGTATTCATCCTCGTCGTCGTCATCGAAGTTCAAAGAGTAACTCAAAGGATCGTATTGAAACTTCTCGCTTGCGTCCCAATCGCGGCCGCGTCGTGGATCGCGATTGAATCGCCGTATGAAAGTCTTCCACCGTGGACCAGCTACGATTTCTGACCACTCTCGGATCTTCAAGGATGCTCGGATCCACCACCGTGGCTCGTCGCCGTGGTCGCCGCTGTGATTACTGTCATCGACGGTTCGAATTCGTCCCCAGGAGGAGTATCCAACGGCGGTGGAGCTTCTTGATCGGAAGCTGGGGAAACAGCAGCAACGTTGCCGGGTATCCGGATCCCGGGTTGGGTCCGACTGCGAAAGTTCCATGGGCCGAAACTCAGAGACGTTTTTTTTGTCTATTTGGGTCAAAAGACTCGTGATGATAGAACTTGATTCAAGTTTTAGCTGTAAAGGAATATAATTGGCCCTATTATATATACACACTTGACACTTGTAATATAAATTAATAATTTGATATTTTTTATGATGTTATATAGATTTTTGTTAATTTGTTGGATCATTGAGGTATTTGTTTGTACTTAAAAAAGTCAACTTCTCTTTCATTTAAAAAAAAAATATAGAGAGAAAGATATAACAAGCGTGATACAGATCGTGACAAAAAAAAAAAAAAAGCGTGATACAGATCATTGAATTATGGTTATCAATATTTTTGAATTATTGTACAATAACATCTTTTGATAGTATTAAGGATATATATATATATGTTACAAACTGGAAAAACTCAGCACAAGAATAATTATGAAAAAATGGCAATATATGTTTGTATGAGGGAGTTTCAAATTCTATAATGAAAAACATTCCTACTAAGAAATAAGAATTGATACAACGTAACTAGCGTTAAGAAAAAGACATGGCACCATAAACCTCAATTATTGGATTTCATATATACATAGACATGATTATTGGAAATTTTCCAACAAGTAGTATTTTGAATTTTGTTGTTCTTTTCTATTTGGGACGAACAGTGATGCAAATACGAATATTCATAAATGATGGAATCTTGGGCAAGCACTAAGCAGTAAGCACGGTACTCAGTAAAATAGCTAACTAATATGAATTGAACAAAAAAAAAAAAAAGGCTAACGAATATGTATGTATCAACGATGATGGGCCAAATTGATGAAAGCCCAAACATTGAGAAAGTGTAAAAAGCCCAAACGTTGTGTCTCTAAACCCATAGAAAAGGAGGATGCCAACTTGCCTGAGTCCACACAATCAATAGCGCGTTGAGATTAAAAAAAAAAAAAAAACTTGCAAAGGCCAAGTTATTATGAGTTTATGACTACATACACAAAAAAGACTCTAGCCAATTGACTGCAAAAGTTGAGTGAGAGTGAGAAAAAAGAGAGATTTACGCCATTCATTGCAAATGTCATTATGTACCAACTGTGTTCAAAATGATATTAAGAGGGTCAAATAATCTTAGAGTGGATCTTATAAAGCTTATACTAATGTGTTTTGGTTGTCTATTCCATCATAAATAACTAGAGGCGAGACTTGGTTTAGCAGTTTCAGTGATCGGTGAATTTTCAAGATCGGTTGGAAAGATTGATAAAAGTTTTTCAGCTATCAAACGAATATTGGACCTAATCCTCCTCCTACTGATCACAACTGTCTTGAAGAGTGCCGTCGAAGACTCATCCAAAGAGGTGCGGAGCTCCTAAGCATAATAGTTACGGCGCTTACCAAACTTTTTAGTAAGTTGTATGAAAACATGCATCACCTTCCAAAGATGAAATCTATAATTTCTGTGAAAAGAACAAAAACGGTTAGGTTATTGGCATAGTTGTATATGCTTCTAGAATCTCTGGTATTCGGAGATCCACCTATTCACAGAGAAATTAAAAAAATATATACATGATATTTCTGTACGAAAAAAAGATGAAAATCTTTACTCCAAAAAAATTTGGTAGTTTTATTTCCACCAAATTAGAAGAATACGAACAAGAGTTTGAGGATGAACGTAAGAAATGATAATTTAACATCCTAAGAACATCCTCATTGCACATTTTTTTTGGTGAATTCTCATTGCACATTTTTATGGGTGTCTTTAAATTTTTAAACTAATTAAAAAAAGATAATACTCCCTCCGTTTCAGTTTAGTTGTCGTTTTAGGATTAAAATTTTGTTTCATAATAGTTGTCGTTTTAGGTTTTCAATGCAAATGTTTGGTGAAAATTCATGTTTTGTCATTAATGTTTTAATGTTTTGACCAATGAAAAAATTATAAAATATATTAATAAAGGGTAAAACAAAAAATTTAATGATTTTCTTAATTTGTGTGCGAAAACCTTAAACGACAACTAAAACGAAACGGAGGGAATAATAATTAATGAGAGTGTTTCCTAAAAAGAGAAGTCTCTTCTTATAGACACTTTACCTCTCAAAAAAGAGAGTGTCTTTAATTTTAGTATTAATTAATATGCAAAACACTCATTTCTAAACCCATCTCCATCTCGTAATAGAAAATTTTAAAACTAGCTACTTCTATAACGATTAATTATTTATAAAAGTAATTTGTAGTATACTGATTTGTATTAGTGTGGCTGTCGTCTTATAATCAAACAACAACAACAAAAAGAACTTATGAAGTTGGTTTCATTATGATGTAGATCAAAATTAATGTTTTATAAAGTTATAAGTTTGATGAAATAATAAAGATGTAGTAGTTATAGTAAATGTATTTATGTTTGAGAGAGAGAGAGAGGTATTAATGTGAGTGAAGAGCCGGGTGTTTCTCATGCATGGGGTACGAGCGGAGTCAACGGCTTCATGGCTCAAATTTGAAACCACGTGTCATGCGTTTGTTACTCTACCCAGATTCTGCTGATTCACAGACTCACTATTAAAATCCATTTTTTCTTTTTTTCTGTTCATAAAACAGAAACCAAAAATAATCCAAATACCAAAAAACCAAAAACAGAACCTAGAAACCACACCCAAAAAAGAAGAAGCTATTTCATCAAACAAACAAAACTCACATCACAAATCAAAAACAAAAAAAATAAAGGCAGTACTAAAGAAAAAGTATATAAACAAGAATCGTCGAAAAGAAGAATCGAAATCATCATAATATTTTGTTTCTCTTCTTCTTTTATTTTTATAAAATATATATTAGTTCTTTGAGAAAATCTGTAGAAGACAAAGAATTCTTCTTTAAAAACAAAGAAAAATGACGGACCCCCACACTGCCCGGACGATCGTCGGAATCATCGGTAAGTCCTCCACAAAATTTATTCAAACATGCAAAAAGTTTAATCCAATCAACAACACAATAACTTGCTCATTTCTTGATTTTTTTCTGTTATATGTTTAGGAAACGTGATTTCTTTCGGCTTGTTCTGCGCTCCAATGTAAGCACACATGATGATTAAATCTTTGAGTTGTTACATGAATAATGATGTTAAATTAATGCATGCAATGACATATATCTCTATATGTGAAACTATGCAGACCAACGATTGTGAAGATATGGAAGATGAAATCGGTGTCGGAGTTTAAGCCAGATCCATACGTAGCTACGGTTTTAAACTGCATGATGTGGACATTTTACGGACTTCCTTTCGTCCAGCCCGACAGTCTCCTCGTCATCACCATTAATGGAACTGGTCTTTTCATGGAACTCGTTTACGTTACCATCTTCTTTGTCTTCGCTACCTCCTCTGTCCGCGTAAGCCTCTAAACCTCTAATTTCAACACGCATGTTAAAAATATGTATTTGCATTATAAATTATTCAATTTGTATAGTGAATTAGCGGTTGATGTTTGTTACTTCAAATGTAGATCGATATAGTTTTTGATATGTGAAGTTATGATATATATGAACAGAGAAAGATCACAATAGCTATGGTAATCGAGGTGATATTCATGGCGGTGGTGATCTTCTGCACAATGTATTTTTTGCATACAACAAAGCAGAGATCTATGCTTATTGGGATCTTGTGCATTGTTTTCAACGTCATCATGTATGCTTCTCCTCTCACCGTCATGGTATGTTGTTTCTACTTTCTAAACTAATCACGGAAATGCAAAAATTGGATACTACTATGATCAACTTTTGATTTGTTCTCTTTATCTCGTGAACTTGCATTAATGAGTTTAGTTAATGTGGAACAGAAACTTGTGATAAAGACAAAGAGCGTGAAATACATGCCCTTCTTCCTGTCATTAGCCAACTTCATGAACGGTGTCGTTTGGGTCATTTATGCATGTCTTAAATTCGACCCCTATATTTTGGTAAAGTTTCGTTTTAACCCTCATATTTTTAACTCAATCCATATAAATATAATCTCAAAAAGGGCTAACTATCTTCCATGAAAACAGATTCCAAATGGTCTTGGATCGCTATCAGGAATAATCCAGCTTATATTATACATAACTTACTATAAAACAACTAATTGGAACGATGAAGATGAAGATAACGAAAAGCGCCATTCGAATGCTGGAATCGAACTTGGCCAGGCTTGATATTCATCGTCGACGGTGCTTCATCGATAGGTTAAGATAGAATCAGAAGTGAGTGAAGTTCTTATTACTACTATTATGTGGAAGCTTATGAAGAAAAAAATGAAAAAGTGGAACCCCAAAGTTATGAAGTTTCTTGTGTAGGAAGAAAGGGGTTTTCACTTTTTTGTTGAAATGATTGTAACTTTCGCAAGTTGAATCTATGTAATTTGTTACAATTTTAGTTTTAATCGAAGTTTATTAGATTACTTTATAACACTTTTTTTTGGGAAACTGCAAGCAAAGAAACAAATTTTGTCCTCATGTTAAGAACAGAGTAATAAACAGAGGAGTTTCCTTGTTTTAGGTTTGTTTTTTTGGTCCTGACCCGGTTAAGAACATCAACCTGATTTCAAATAATAAGAGGGATAAAATTGTCATTTGCTACCGAGAACGTTACCGGTTTACCCGATTCGATTATAGAAACGAACCAATGAGCTAAACCGGAATGTGCGATTCACAATTGTGGTTTTGTATCCTTAAAACACGGAGGACCAGAGATACCGTTTGAGATGACGATTGAATTATGTTATCATCATCGCCGGCGGTCACCACCACCGCACATCCTCCTCCATCACCGGAAACCTACCAAATTCCTCTGAATTTACTTTCCTCGCCGCGTATTACCCGCCGAGACCTTTTCAAGACTCTATCCGTATGTATTGCCACACCATCACTCTCAGTCTCCATCGCCGCACCAGCCAACGCACGCGGCCTCTTTCAAATGCCGCCTCTCCGGCTATCTAATCGGTAACTCACTTTTCCGAAACCCTAATTTTGAGTTTCTGAGTATACAACATTGTGCATCAATGTGTATGTATCTTCGCTCTTTGCTTGGAACTAAGTTTGATGGATTTAAATTTGGTTATCTTCTTTGTGAGCTAATTGGTTTGGTTATCTTAGAAATTGGAGCTAATACGCAATGTGTTTTTGGTTGTTGTTTATTTTGAACCAAGTTATTACCTTGTGAGAGCTGGGGAATCAGATTATGAGAGCTTAGGGATAATCAACACAAACCCGGTTGCCAAAACATCGGTAGATAGCGGATTATCTGAGAAAGGTAAGAAGCAGACGCTGAGAGCTGCGTTACAGTTAAAGGCAATGGGAGCTTGTGACCGAAACTGTTGGCTCTGGCCTTCCATAACACAGAGAGCTTATCAGGCTGCTGAAATCATCGCCGCCATCAGTGGAATCAGTCGCAGGTAAAGTCTTCCATTAGTATTCTTACTCTTTAGTGAGGTTATAACTGTGGAATCTAATCTTTGTGATGGTACGCTGAATGTTTTATGTATACTTGGTTTTCGCAGCTATATAGTTCCGGAATATAGCTTCCTCGATGCTCGTGGTTTAGGAGCTTACGAAGGCAAGAAGCTAGAATCCATATCAGAAGTAAGATTTAGCATTTTTCGCATTTAAACTTAGAAACAAAAACTTGGGTTGAAGTATGAAAGTTTCAACTTCTTTGCAGGTTTATGCATTAGATTCAATATCGATGAAGACAAAACCTCCTCCTATAAGCGACGGTACCCCCAACGAGAGTGTAGCAGATGTCTTTGTGCGTGTGACGCAGCTCATGTCCATTCTCGAGACTCAATACTCAGAGGACACAATTGTGATTGTTTCTCCTGATTCAGACAACTTATCGGTGTTACAAGCTGGTATTCAAGGCCTCGACCTTCGAAGGCACTCGGAGTTGTATTTTGGACCAGGAGAAGTAAGATTGTTAGATGCAAACAGCATTCCTGTGTATAAGCAACCTGCTTCTGCCGTATATAAGTGTAAGAACCCACCAAACTGTGACTAAAAACATTATATTCTCAGTATCTGTTTATTGTTATTATTCAAATACAATTGTGATTAAAACATGATTTTGAAGCTTAATTTTAGATTTCAATGTAAGTATTAGTACATACAATCATAATGGTAACAGGCCGTATATTTCTAAATTTTGTTTTTTTTCAAGTAACTCATATTAAGTTGTAGTGTTTTCGTCCATGCAAATTTTGTTTCTAAAAAAAACTTCAACTAGTTCATTTGATAAAAATTTGTTATTTACGAAAAACAGATATTCTGACATTTACATTACACCAAAAAACAAAAAGCAGAGGAGATTAGTAGATACAGATGAATCTACTAATATCTACCTAACAATGAGCATACAATTTTCTTTTACTGATCCCTGAAGGAAGTTTCTCGTTGCTTTTATTTACTTCCCCGCAACTTCTACTTCAAGAAGAAAACACAGGAGCTGCATCAGCTAAGAATTCGAATTACATTCTCTGTATAGCGATGAGCGTTTACTAAACTACTATTAGCTTCCCTATTTGATATTTCTTGTTTCTTTTATGGCGATGAGAGATGTTGTCAAGTGGTTAGTTCTTAATGACTCGTCTCTGTCTGTGTTTGATCTTAACCAGAGGCAGAATCTCTTTTTTTTTACTTAGGTGTATATATCTGATTTTATGGCTAAAGTTTGATTTTTTCTGCAGGTACGTTGGGATTGTCTTGTTGGCACTTGCATTTAATTTGTATAGATACTGATTCTTCTTTTTTTTTGGGTATGTTGAATCACTCAAGAAGACAAAGAAAGGACTAAAGAATAGATTTTTTCTTTCATTGATTTAAGTTGCAAACTAAGACCTAGGGTTTTAGAGTATGTAAAGAATCTCATGAAATTGTGTTTCCTTGATGGTTAATTTTGCTATGTAGTCTCATTCTAGCTATCAATTGGAACAAGTATCTTCTTTGCTATAAACCACTGCCTATATGGCTTGTGGTAGGTGTCTCTTGCTTATCATCCAGCACCTTCAATTTTTTCTGTTTTCTCTATTCCTTGAAAATCTGTTTTACTTGTCATGGATTTTATTGTCTCTGTTTTGTATAGGTCGATTACACAACCGTGTTTATCTTTGGCCTTTTGATGTTTGTGGACAACTGGCTTGCTACTGGACTTGCCTTGTAAGTTTCATCTAAAGCTCCATGCTTTGCATTTTCTTGTATTTCTCTATCTTGGTTGGTGGTGTCACATTGTTTCTTGTTTACTTGAATCATGTTAGGGATTTTGGAAGGCAGCAGCGTGATTCAAGCTGGTTCTGTAGGAGAGCGGTGGTCATGTCTATCTTAGCTTTGCTGCTGTATCCATTCATGTGGGTTTGGACTGTAGTTGGAGCATTATTGTTTATAAATGCAAGAGACTGTGTAAGCAACTATGATATGGTTTTATGATATGGTTATTGGGCAAATCCGGTCTCTGAGTTTATTAAGTCTTTCTTATGTCCAAAGTTACTTGATGATCTTCAAAAATGGGATTTTATCACTTGGCTGGTGTCCAGCTGTTGTGTACTCGTCTGCATTGCCTGGACTTGTGTTGTAAAGGTAGATTATATCTTTACCATTTCTTTTTTTGGTTAAAAATTAAGGCTCCCTGGCTTATGCCTGTGAAAATTTGAGCAGTGGTTGACGCGAAGACGTGCACAGTTATTACGCGCCCAGCAGGGAATTCCCATTTCTGAATTTGTGGTAAGTTTCCAGGATCTCATGACTTTGCTATTATACTTTTTCTCGACTTTCTGTTTCTTATAAGCTAGATCTGACTTGGCTAGCATGTTTCATTGTGTCCAGATTCTAGTTGACATGGTTCGGGTACCCGACTGGGCATTTGATGCTGCAGGACAAGAGATGAGAAGTATGGGCCAAGATGCTGCTACGTATGATAGGTTGAATCCATCTCAGGCTAGTTATCAAAACTTATTATGAGATAATGAAGAATAAAATTACCTAAAGCTTTGAATCTTTTCGGTTTAACAGAGAAAAGCACTCATTCAAGAACTTCCAAAGTTTAGGTTAAAATCTGTCCCAACCGATTGCACTGAGTGTTCTATTTGTTTAGAAGAGTTCAATGTCGGAAACGAGGTAACTCAACTCCTTATGTTTGTTCTTGTGCTGGTCTCTGTACTCTGCATTGATGACCTGTTTTTTCTTTTGTTTGTTCAGGTTAGGGGTTTACCTTGTGCTCATAATTTCCATGTTGAATGTATAGACCAATGGCTTCGATTAAACGCAAAATGTCCACGGTGTCGTTGCTCGGTCTTTCCAGATCTTGAGCTCAGTGCAGTATCCAACCTTGAAAGCTCAGATGCAGGACATCAATTCTCAAACAGCGAAACAACAATGGAATCTCGATACATAAGAAGCCAACCTCCTAGGCAAAGCTACCCTTTGCGATTACTAGGACTTCTTCGTCCGAGTTTAGAGACCTCTGATACTGCTCTGGAGACTGCAGAGAACGGTGGGATTCGTCCGTACTTCTCACCGGAGCTAAACCCCCCAAATTAGGCGGTGAAAGAAACGAGAAAAGAAGAGTGAGCCTGTAGAAACTTAACTCCCAACTAATTCCCTTCACGGTTTGAGCTGTACCTGTATCTAAAAATATAGAAAACACTGTAAATTAATTTGGTTAAAGTAAATAAAACGATCTTCGTTTTTACATTTTTGAAAGAAACAAGAATTGTCCATGCCTAGACTATAACTTATCTTATAGTAGATAGTAGATATATAACTTCAGGAGTAATAATTATAATGACCGCATATATAATAATTTCGTAGTATATGACTACATATGTTACATTTTAACATATATTTATAAATAGCATATATAATATCTAATTTGTACTTTTAAAAGTATTTTTATTATTATTATTTTAAAGAAATATATTTTCTATTTTTTTTAGGATTTTCTTCAAATCTAGACAGTAATATTTAATACACAAAATGATGTTTGATTATTGTATATATCGATAAAAGGATAACATACGAGGAGTTTGGCATCGTCATCGTCGCCGCAACCATCGCATCGGTTTTCTCTCCTTCCTGAAATCGACGGTTGAAATCTCAATACTAGATTTGGTCAGCTAAATCTTTTGTTAGCTGTACGATAAGAAATGGATGGACACGACGATTTCAGTGATTCAGTTGACAAATGTAAGATCCCAAATTTCTTAAGTTACTTGGTTATATTTCTTTGAGGAGTAGCTCTCGTTTCTTTAAAATTTTCTCTTGAGTTTTCGCCCAAGTCTACATGGTTTGTTTGCCCATGTTTCAATTTGTACGACCCCCGCTCAAGATAGAAAAGCTTTTGTTTCTTGCGGACGGTGATGTAAAACGAACCGCAAGCCTAAATGCGGCTTGCCGTTTGATCAAGCTCAGAGACAATCCGGCTCTTCTCAAAATGGTCAGAACCAAATACCGATTGGATGAGGATGATATGTTGCTTAGACGAGTGAATGATCGTTTTCATGGAGAAAAATAAATATTGAGTCAGAATTGGATATTATTTATTGGGTGGTAACTTCTTTATGAGAAAACATGATTTCGAAAAAATATATTTTAGTCTTTTTTATCTTTGTTTTTACAGAAGAGAACTCAATGAATATATTTATAAATCTATGTGTCTTTGTCTTTAGGAAACAATACTACTAGAAGAAATGAGAACTCCACTACGATTACGGGGATCTCAATGAAGCTTTTAGGATTTTTCATAAAGAACTTAAATCCTGCACTATAGGGAGACATGTTATTGACTCACATTTGAAGTTGATTCTAGTTAGCCTTAAAAGGTACAAACTAGAAGACGTACTTGAGTGGGTTGATAAAGTTAGGCAACGTTGTTCTATGGAAAGCATTGTCGCTGCATAAGTGACATGTGCCTGCGCATTAGGGAATGTGGGACTAGAGAGATACAAAACCGTAGCCCGTGAGGTAAGTTTTTTTTCTTTCTTTCAAGTGCACATTTCATTTAGATTTGTCTAATCTGAACTTAAAACCATTTGAACTTTTTATGTGCAGTTCTTTAATGTAGACTGTGGACATGGAGATACATTCAACGAAGTCATTCTCCTCCGCGATGTTGCCATTTATGGAGGTCTACGTTTGCTTGCAATATATGATCGATCTGAAAATTAGGTACTTACGTGATTTTTCTTTTTAATAGTTTGATCAAACAAGCATTAATAATAGTACGTAAAAAACACATTCCAAGAACATATGGTCATCAATACGTTTTAAGAAGAAAGATTTGAAAAGAAATTTCATCGATATCATCATTTTTATGACCTCCCCCCTTCCCACTTTTTCTAATTAATTTTGGAATGTGTTTTTTTACATACTATTATTAATGCTTGTTTGGCCATATATATATGTAAATTAGAATAAATTAGTTTATTTTCATGTAAATATGAAGTAGTAACGAGTGTTATACTATGTCTTTTTCGATATAAAGTAGTGTGTTGTGGCCTTAAGTATATTTAAACAAAATAAAAACATAACAAAAAATGACAAAATATCAACCAAGGGGATTAGAAACTGGGAGGGAAGTAATTGTTCTACAGAATTTTAGCCACTAGACCTTTGAGATTTAACAAGATACTACCTCAGTTTTTTGCTTTATAGTACGTGTCTAAAGCATAAGGCTTTACCTGCTTTATGGCCAGGCCGGGCCGGGCTTGATGAACATGTCAACTACATAACATTGTTTTACAATCTCACGAAACCGAAAACATCTCGAGATCACATTCAATCAACGAGTTTTTCATTTTCTAGTTGAATATTAAAGAAACCTATCAATACTAGAGAAGCAATATCTAGGCGACCAAATATTGAAGAGCCTCATATTACTTTCTTTCACCAAAAACTATAATATAAGAGGAACAATAGTATAAAATCACAACTAACGTAAATCCTACAAGTCTCATCAATGTTTAAACATCTCCGAAGGCCCGCAAAATTAAGCCAGAGAACATCAGTCCCTTTAATAAGAAATTTAGCATTCTCTTCCAACAAATTATATATCAAGATTATCTAAATATCGATCTCCTGTCCCGATCGCCATGAGAATCTAAGGAGATTAGGGGTTTGACTCCTCAGAAAACCAAATTACACAGAGTTAATACCTCTATGTGTCTTGATTTGGTTTTGTAACATTTGCAGTGGCTGATTTTTGTGAAAGATAAAATAATCTTATGGAAAACGAGTTTCGTGATCGATGAAAAAGAATAGTGTTGTGACGATGGATTTTGAAAATATCATATGGTAAAGACAATTAACAAAAAAAAAGGCAAAATAAGTAGGAGTGGGTGGGTTGCTTTTTGCTTTAAACAAAGAACAAAAGGCAAAAAAATGCTTTTGATATTTTTACTTTTTCTTTTTATTTAACTATTTTTAATCTAAAGATAGAATACATTTGATTCAAAAGGGAATGCTCGAAAAACTAAAAAAGATTTGACAAGATTAAAAACAAATACAATTGATAGAGATTAATGATGCTTTACTTTAGCTTCGTCTTCATCTTGGTGTATATTCCCCTATTCTTTATGTGTTTTTTTTAGACTACCTTTTAACTTTTTTGCTAATTTTTTATTTGAGAATTGGCTTATATATGTTTTCGTTTGTAGAAAGAAAAAAATCCCAATGGAATCATAATTGGTTTTGAAAAATATATGTATACATATTATTGCTTCCCTTGTTAATTATTTCGTCACTTTGCAATTCATTTATCAGAACCAATCTTATAATAATTGAAAATTATTTCGTCACTTTGCAATTCATTTATCAGAACCAATCTTATAATAATTGAAAACAAAAAATGCATATCTGAGAAGAATAAAAATATATCCTTTTGTGTACATATATTATATAGTATATGCTCAATTGCTGATATACTTATTTAGTAATATGGAATCTTTATAGATGGTAAAAAGAGCAAATATAATCAACTAACACATGCACACACAAAACAATCATAAAACACCTTACGATTGCGTCATAAATAACGCGGTGCAACATCATTGGTTGATAACATCTTGGTGCACATTGAATCATCTGATCGCGTTATAAAATGACGTGGTGCAATATCATTGGTTAACAACATCTTGGTGCAGGTACACAGAGACATGCGTCACACTGGATCATTTTGGGTTTTAATTCTCAACGAAGAAATGTAAAGTGGGGTCTCTTCTATTGCCGGGAAAAACAAATGAGAAGAAGAAGAAATTAAAGTTTCTTTTTCTCCTTCACTTTCTCACACTGCACATAACAAACAAAACACACACAAGCTCTGCAAAAAATTCAAATTCCGGGAAGCAGACGCCGGAGAAATCGAATCAAATAGATGAAGATGAAGCGGACTGCGTCATCGAACTCAGAAGCATATAGTTACAACGAATCACCACACTCTCCTCTTCGATTTCATTCTCCGTTATCAGATGCCGGAGATTTACCGGAGAGTCGTTACGTTTCGCCTGAGGGATCTCCGTTTAAAATCGAGAATCCGAAGTCGATCGTAGCTGGTAATAAGCTCACGCAGTTTTCGCCTCTTCCTTCCCCGATTCCGCCTCCTCCTCCTCAGTTTCCGCCGCCGCGACGTCAGAGGAATGCGAGAGTTCCGATGAATTCGTCTTCGGATAAGTCTCCGTCGTCTATGGTGGTGCACAATAGCTGGGTGAGAGAAGACGGTCAACAAACTACGACGAGAAAAGCTGGAGCTCCGATAAACGGAGAAGAATCGGCGACGACGGTGAACAGAGCGAGAAGAGACGATTTAGTGAGTGTGACGGCGCTAGGGTTTAGAATTAGCGAAGTAATTTTGTGTGTGATTTCGTTTTCAATCATGGCGGCTGATAAAACTCAAGGATGGAGCGGCGATTCCTATGATCGCTACAAAGAGTACAGGTCTCTCTCTTCTTCAGTCTTCACCACAACTTTTTGGTTTTAGAATTGAAATCTTAATCAGATCATTTAAATCATCATCAACACAAATCTTTTGCAGGTATTGTTTGGCTGTGAACGTTATAGCATTTGTTTACTCTGCATTTGAAGCTTGTGACGCTGCTTGCTACATCGCCAAAGAGAGTTATATGATGAACTGTGGATTTCACGACTTATTCGTTTTCTCCATGGATCAAGTGAGTGTTGCTTTAAACCATTTAGCGATTTGTGTAATCAAACATATTTGATGAATTCTGATGAGCTTTTTTGTAGCTTCTTGCATATCTTCTAATGTCGGCTTCTTCATGTGCTGCGACTCGAGTCGATGATTGGGTATCTAATTGGGGTAAAGATGAGTTTACTCAAATGGCAACCGCTTCCATCGCGGTTTCATTTATAGCGTTTGGAGCTTTTGCGGTCAGCGCTTTGATTTCTTCTTACAGGCTCTTCACTCATGCTTCCTCCTAGTTGTGTTGCCTTCCCTGAAACCAGTCTGTGACTCTATATCTATGTACAGTCTCCCTTATAGCTTAGAATGGTAATGTGTAATACAAGTTTCGATATATTAAAATAAGGCAAGCAATCAAATGACTGAATTTACTTGTGTCGCAAGATATATATTATTTAATGAAGGTAGGTGGTGATAAATCCCAGGACCTAAATGCATGTTTTCTTACAAGCAAACCTCATAAAGTATCAAGAAACACTAATTATTATTTTTAGTTTCCTTCTGGGCTGATATGTTGCTGTTCTGTTTCTTCTTCTATCTCTGTGATCTGAATTCTTTCTGATCCATCACCACCAGATTCAGAGAACTTAGTGATCTTCTGTAACTCATCGCTCACACCTGACTGGTCATCACTAGCAGCTGCTTCTTGGTCTATCTTAGCTCGTGGCTTAGGACGGCGAATGGCCTCTGCTGCTTCTGCCATGGCAACTGGAGGTGGTTGTGGAGGTACCCATGACCGTTGCCTCTGGAAAGCTGCTGGTTCCACTGTACTTGTTTCATTTTGGTTAGCAGTGAAACGCGCCGCTGTTGTTGTCTCATAGCCGAAATCCGTGGATCTAGGGTTTTTCTGTTGCCACCATTGACCATTGGAACTCTCGGCTTGTGGCGCTTGACCATAGTCCCATGGCTGATAATAAGAGAGAACACGAGTTTAATGAAGTCTTAATAATAAGTTCAGTTTCACACATTTGACCAAGAAACCTTACAAATAATGTACTTTTAGATTGACATTCAGGGACATTTACAGTTTGTACCTTAGATTTGGGAGCGATGCGTGGATCTGATAGTGGTTGGTTCGGATTAGGCGGCATGTCGTTAATCTCCTGTAGATTTTAGTGAAAGTGCCATAAGTTTGTCACAACAAAACTGTATGGTTAATTTAAAAATGGTGTGAGAACGGATTTCAGTTTTTCAACTTACCCGAATGTTTGAAGGCTTCTCTCCTCTCTGGATCATTGACATTATCTGCAGCATCACCAATATTCAACCAAATGTTATAAAGATTATTAGGAATTCAAAGGGTAAGATTCATATAAATCCATGATTCTGCAGCAAACGTAGGAGATTTCAGAACATTACATCCATGTATGACTTTGGATGAGGGGGCACAGAGGAATCAGCTGGTGGCGCAGGAGGAGATGCAGATCGCGCTGTATTATCCATTAGTTAGAAAGAATAATCTAACCAAAAACAATAAACCGTAATGCAGATTGAGTGAGAGAGAGAGAGAAAGAGAAAGAGTTAGAGAGAGAACCTGAACGTGTGTCATAATCAACGTTGCTGCCATTTGTATAGGGTTTCTGCATCACATATCAACGTTCCTAATGTTACCAAAAGAATTATGATACGTAATTCTATCAGTTAATCGAAAAGTTCAAGTTGATGTGGTTTTGCCATGGGGTTTATATCAGACTATTTAGAGTCTCGGTTGTGAGACTCATCCAAGAGTAGAAGAACCTTAGAGACTTATCAGCGATTAGGGAGGAAGTCAAACTGTTCTCTTTGGGCTGCTTTTGGGTTTTGTTTGTGTTTGTAAACCCCTAATCTACGAATCAAAGCTTAATCAAACCAAAACCTTAAAACTCACCCTTGCTGCAGTGACTGAACCATTATAAACCTCTTGATCAGCGGAATAAATCTTTGGAATGTTGTTGGGTTGTCCTGAAAGTAAGAAAGAGAAATAGAATAATACGCTTTAAATCAAGAAGCTTTAACAGTAGCTCTTAAGATCAACCAAACATTAGGTAACTAGACCCTCGATGACTCCCGATATAGAGTTGTTCAAACTCAATTGTATGAATATGAATACCGAGATCAAATCTTCCTTTTTCAGGAAAGGTTAATACTTACCTTCGAGCTTACGGATATTATTGCTCAAGGACTTCATTTCTTGTACTTGGACACCTAACAGGTGTGTTAAGTCCTCGAAATATTTCCTCTCTGACAAGTAGCAATATACAGATTTTAATTTAGAGGAAAAGAAGGAACAAGCAAGAAAAGTCCAGAAATAATCACAGAAATAGAGAAAACTCAGTCGAGATTATAAACTGCAGAAACATATCTACCTTCATTCTTGGTTATCATCATTTCCTGACTAACCCTGGCTACATCAGAAGCAGCCGCAGAAGCAGCTTTGCCTGCAGCTACTGCTTCTTCAGCTAAGCTAGGTTTAGCATCAGCTTTCTTCAGAGGGTCAGTTTCTTCTTCCAACATAATTCTTTGGACCCAGGATTTAAATCTGGGTATGAGAGATTTCTGAAACAAACAAAATCTCACTTCAATAAGATTTTGATTTTGTACAAGGAGATTCATAATATGAACTTGCATAGCGTTAAAACACATCTAGCAATCAGTAAAAGCCAGAAAGGTAATAACAACTTTCTAACACCCTAACAAACTCTTACGAGGATTGCTTTCATCAAAGTTCTTGGCAACTATATTCTTGTGGTCGAGTTGAAACAGAGAGTGTGAGAGGTATGAAATTCTTACCTAAGCCAAAAAACAATGAATTCCTATATAGTCTGCTTTCATTTCATTAATGGCCTAACCATTAGCCAATTATTATGATGTACTAAGTAAATTCATAACATAACCCACTGCATAGAAATGAAGACAGGTTGACGATACCTTTATAAAAACAGCTGTTCCGGCACCAGAAGCTGCAAGTACTCCAACAGCAAGAATAGCATGGTACCAGCGAAACCGAGAGAGAAAAGCTGCCTGCGGAGTCACAACGAGTGGAGCAGGAGCAGCTACTACAGGCTGCATAGCTTGTGGCTGAACAGTTGACACTGCTTGCTGTCCATCTGCTTGTGTAAAAACATAACAATTCATACAATTACCTTCCAGTCTAGTAATCAAAGGAACAACCAAACAAATACATGTCTCGCTTAGCTACCTTGACTTGTAACAGTTGTCTGCGAACTTGGTGGTGGATCCTACGATTAAGATTTTTCACAGAGAGGTAAGCCATTGAAGAGGAATGGAAAAAAGCTCCAAACCAAAGAAGTAAGGAGGAAGCTTACAGGAACACGGCGGAATGCTTCGTCTATCTCTTCTTTAGTGAGACCTTTCCTCTCAAGAAAAGATCTTCTGTGTATAACAGGCGAGCCTTTAACCCTCGGGTGCGAAAGGAATTTGATAGCATTCTGAATTTGATCCTCCCGTATAGGTTCTGAATTCTTAAACACAGATGTTGGAGGATCCTGCTTAACAGTTTCCTGAGCTATGGTAGCTTGCTGAACCTCACTTGCAGGCTTTGTAGCCTCTGTAACAAATACATTCATCAACAAGAACATTAGTATAAATCCTACTATGTATTACTCTAAACGATTATATCCAATATTTCATCGTTTTCTAGGTTTAAACTTTGGTACTGGTGTAATTGAACATTCATCACCGTTCAATAAAAATCAGTTAACTATGCAAACGTAATAGTTCATCACCAGGCTAAATACTGAGAATTTGTTCATGGAATCAACCAAAAAAAGTTAAGAAATAATGATTAGAAGCTGTAATTTGAACCTGGAATCTGGGAATTGTCATCGGCAGGAGCGGGAAAATCGGAAGGAGGTTGCGTTTGCTGATGAGTTGCCATAGCAGCTCACCAACTTGGAAGAATTCAAGCGGCAAAAGAGACTATAAATCTCGAAGATGAGAGAATAAATCGTTGGAGAGATGACGACGAGAGAACGACGATGAGGATGAGAGTAAATCAGGTTTTGCTCAAATCGAGGTATTTAACTTGGAAACTCCAGACTCATCTGAGCTGGTCCTTTTTTTTTTTGGTCTAATCTTTTTGGTTTGGTGAGTGGTATGTATTTATGTGTGGTGGTCACACGAAGTGGAGATAACGGCGTTGTCTGGTTTTTAGTTTTTTTCTTGGTCTATTATATTATTGGGCCTACAATGTATATGGACTATGGACGATGATACCCAATGAGCCCATTTGTATTACAGAATTTATGCCAAATTCTAAGATTAGGGCTTTATGCCAATTTCTTGTTAAAAGATCATGTTTGTCCTCCACTCTTCCCATGGATTGATCATTATTATATGTGTAGTGTAGAGCATTCTCGAATAAAAATGGGCTCATTTGGTATGTCTTGATTGATTAAGGGGGTTATTCGTTCATGAATTTATAAAGATTTGAAAATCCAAACAAAAATTATTTGTTATTTAATTAGTGATTTTAAAATCCTAACTAAAATAATGTGTTATTCGTTCTATAATTTATAAATACTAGTTAAAATCTTATTTTATTTATTTAGTCATTTGTTTTTGGATTTCAAAATCTAAATTATGTTTTAAATGTATTTGAATGAGAAAATAGAAGAATTCAAATGTATGAATAAACACATGTTATTTCAAAATTCATATGTCTTGATTTCATAATTAATTAAGATTTTCAAAGTATTAACAAATCAATAAACCAACAACACCCCTAAACTTTGGAAATCTCTGTATACTTAGATCTTATATGTCTTGATTGATTAGCTTAGGAATAATTGGAAATAAGGGATATTTAAAATTAGAATTGTCCATCTAGACCTTTGTACTAAATTATCACTTCAGATTAGATTACCCTTAGTAATGGTTAAACCAAATTTAGAGGTTTTGGCAAAATATATGAATCAAAAATTAGATTATATTTTCTTTAATTTTGTAATTTTATTTTATTTTCTTGATTGATTAATCACTTAATTAGTCTTTCTTTTTCAGATATAAGGATTTTTGCATTGAATGATTTTAGGTATATTATAATGATGAAGAACATTATGCCAAAGTCGGATCTCTCCTAAATTAAGGACAACAGGCTTCTCCTTACAAGTTGTATGGGAGGCACCATTGCGATTCCCAGTTACTTTGTGCTAACGGGAGAAATGACGAGAACCAAGTTATATGTAGCAATGGCCATATTTGTTTATGTCTTTTATGTTGCTGATGTATCATTTTTCAACTAATCAATGACAAAAGGAAAAATCTCTGTGTCGCTCGATTAAAGATGCAATATGGGCACTTTTCTGCTACTTTTTGAGAAGGCTAATTCTATTTATTGGTGGGATTCTTATCGAGAATAGGCTCTACAAGGTAATGGGTGCGGATATGCGGTTATTATAACTGTTGGCTCTTTCACTATGCTCTTATATATCTTCTACATAAGCAAGTTAGCGAACTTATATTTTGGTTGATTGATTTTTTACCTTGTCGACTTTTTTGAACTGTTAATTTATTTTCTTTAAATTAAAATAATTATTTTTTCTTTAAAATTAACATAATTATTTTAGTTATAATATTAAAATTAAAAATATTTTTGAATTATAAATTCGTAATGAATATTAAACTAATAATTATCCAAAATATTTACTAAGTAGATAAGTTATGTTATATAACTAAAATTTATAATTTTTGTTTATCATATTTATAAGTTTTAATTTCATCACTATCTAACATTTGCACAAAATAAAAAATTTTTTTGAGTAATTTTTTTTTTTCATATGAATAGCTTAATATAAAATTTTAAATAAAAATTGTAAAAACTAATTTATCAATTATTTATTTTTGTTTTCTTAATTTTTAATCATTAATTAAGAACAAAAATGTCAATTTGAAGAAGAATAAGGTATATCTCAATTTTTTTAAAAAGCATTAGAGTAAAATAACGTAACATTTGTCTTCAGACTAACCATGTTAAGAAGTAAGGAGGAAGCTTACAGAAACACGGCTAAATGCATTTGTCTAAAGGAGTAAGACCTTTCCTTTCAAGAAAAGATCTTCTATGTATAACAGGCGAGCCCCTAACTCTAGGGTGCGAAAGGAATTTGATAGCGTTCTGAATTTGATCCTCCGAATTGGTACTGAATTCTTAAACACACATGTTGGAGGATCCTGCTTAACAGTTTCCTGAGCTATGGCCTATAATAACACATTTATCAACAAGAACATTATATTAGTATAAATCCTACTATATATTACTCAAAATGATTTCCAAACGTACAAAACCGAACCGGAACCAAACCAGGAATCTTTTGGATTATAGCTCAAAACAACAACATCAATAAATTCAAGAGTGGAGTACTACAGAAGTACAAAGGTTCTTAAACAGAGAACTAAAACAAACAAAAACAAAAAACAGAACGTCTCGTAACCCCAAACCAAACTAGATTTAGTTACTTTTGTTTCAACTTTTTGACGCCAAGCTTCAACTCCAACATTTCACCACGCAATAAACAGATAGGGACAAACATGAAACTCTCATCAGGGATTTGAGAATTCACTTCAAGAAGCCTCTTCACTTCTGGTGATTCGTAAGTAACATTGTGTCCATCGATACTATACGACAGACAATACGAGAACTTCTTTAATTCTGAAGCAGATGGTGCAATGCGTCTAACAGTAACATAAACACCATGTCGCTCCTTGAAACACTGAACCACAAACAATAGTTTCTGAAGAGATTCCCAGAGGACAAAAACCTTTTCGTTGATGTTTATCCGGACATCAACAGAGGAATATCCCCATATAGAGGAATAGATCGTACTATTGTAAAGATGGCTACGCATAAAGTGACCGTAGATGATGTTGTATGAGCCAGTGTAATTGCATTCGAGGTTAGGGCAAGAGCATTGAGAGTAGTTGCATTCCTTTTCATGACTTGACACTTTCCCATAAGAGAAACTCTCTGTGCAGCCAAACTCAGCATTTGGACATGGGACAAAGGCTGATTCAAGAACCTTCTCCATTGAGAAGCATCGCTTGTTACCAATGGGTAAATCACACCCAGGACCAGGGCACTTGTTACTACTCACTTTGGCAAAGCAAAAATTGCAAACTAGATGTCCATCATCACACTGAAATGCAAAACCAAATGAGTTAGTCAAAGCCTAATTACAAAGGAACACATGAAACAAAATCAAATGCATGCAAGTTCAAAAGATAACCTGAAAGGTAGGTATAGTGAGTGGCTCGAAGCAAATCGGACAGTCAAGAACATCAAGATCCAACAACTTAGCCGATCGTGTTTCATTCTTCTCCATACGTTGCTTCTTTTGCCGGTGCGAAGGTTTTTCTTTTGATAATTGAATATGCTGGTGAGAGTTGCTACCCTCCATATCGATAAGGTTGGCCTGAAAATGGAATTGGAATTATGTGTTTTTGTTGCCAATAGTTAAAAGGATTAATTCTAGCTCCGATTTCCGAAGTTAAAAGAAAAAGTGGCATGCATGCATATTATATACATTGACTTGGAATCCGAAACATCCAACACTTGTTTTGCCATGTGTCAATTAACGTAACACTTGTCGTCAGACAAACCCTTAGCATTAATGAATTACTGACTCATTTACCAGTATCTCTGAATCCACCAACCACTAATTAAATATTAGTAAATTCTCTTTTCTGTTTTATGGGGTAATTTTTCTTCCTTACCGAAGAAAGAAAACTGAGCACCGTTCAAACAAGAATAATCTTATTAGAAAATAATATTATTGGACGGATGATAATAGTCTACAAGAAGACTTTTAATATTTAACCAATCGAACATTTTTTTTTTTTTGGTTTTGACCAATCGAACATAGGACGGAGAGATACAGAAAATTCTATACGTAAAAAAATTCAGTTGAGAAAAATTACATGGCTTTTGAATTTTAAATTTACAAATTCAAACATTAAGGAACAAAAAAAAAATGATAGTGAAAAAAGTGAAATACATTGCTATACATAAGAAAATTCTATACGTAAGAAAATTTCAATTTTTTTTTTTTGATAACCCAGTATCCAATAATGTAATTTTTTTTCAATTAATTACAACAAACTGTTTTATACATGTCAACATCTAAGCAAAATATAATATACATGTCAAGAATCAAGATCTAAACAATATTTGACATGTGGATTGTAATTTTGTTACAGCATATAACATGTTAGTCAAACATATATAATTTAATTTAGTACAATAAGATATCATATCAAAAATTCATAAACGGTTGTCAATTTAGACATTTTATCAATTACCACACTTTAATTGTTGGTTTTTAATTTTTTATAATACCATAACCTTTTTCTTTTATTTTTAAGAGAAAAATCCTAAAAAAATCCCTTGTAATGCATATTTCTTTTGACAACCTATGTAATTTATAACAGTAATAACTAACTAATGATATTCTCCTTTTTAATACTACAAAAATCAAATAGAAAATGGGAACATAATAAGACCGGATTATTTACCACTTAGAAACTTGTCGTTACCTTAATAAGGGTCGCTCTTACTAAAAGTCGAATAATGCTCAACGAAATCTTTTAAAAAAGGTAAAAAAATCTGATGGAACCATTCAAATTACGATCCTACCAATCCATATTCGTTTCTTATCACCATCTCTCTCACTGTTTATCTGATTGATTCTTCTTCTCTGATAATCGACTAGTAGTGCGGTTCTCTGGAAAATATTCGATTTTTAAAAGACTGATGATGACATTAAACTCACTATCTCCAGCTGAATCCAAAGCTTTTTCTTTCTTTGATACCTCCAGGTTCAATCCAATCCCTAAAATCTCAGGTTTCTTCTCCTCTTTTCTCGTCCTTGGTCAACTCTCTTTCGATTAAAGTTGCAAACTTTCATTAGTTCTCCATCTGGGTATCTGTAAATTTCTTCAATTCGAATTTTTTTTTGGGTTGCTTTAGCTTCTAGAGTTTAAAATTTTACATCTTTGGAGTGTTTCACAGGTGGGTTTAGTTTGAGGAGGAGGAATCAAGGGAGAGATTTTGGAAAAGGTGTTAAGTGTTCAGTGAAAGTGGAGCAGCAACCTCCTCCAGCATGGCCTGGGAGAGCTGTTCCTGAGGCGCCTCGTCAATCTTGGGATGGACCTAAACCCATCTCTATCGTTGGATCTACTGGTTCTATTGGCACTCAGGTTTTATATCTGTTTCTTGGTTTCTTACTCTTTGCAAGATGAGTTTAGTTCCATGAAGTTAGATTAAGGCATTATTTTTGCAGTTCTTGAGTAGGATCAGACTTTATATTTGTGTTATGAATGACTAGATCAAAGAAGAATGAGTTTTTTTCTTACTGTCTGCATTGTTACTGAGTTATTGTTGCATCATTTTTATTGAGAAGAACTTCCATTTTGCAGACATTGGATATTGTGGCTGAGAATCCTGACAAGTTTAGAGTTGTGGCTCTAGCTGCTGGTTCGAATGTTACTCTACTTGCTGATCAGGTAAGTTGGCTTCGTGTGTTAATTTATAGTGTTTTGTCTCTCCAATTTGTCATTCAGACCACTCGGAATTCAATTTAATTCTCAATTCAGTTGTAGTATCATAAGCAGGATATTATAAACTAGTTTTGTATCAGATCAAACCAGAGAATCAGGTTCTGGCTTAGGTTTTTACTTCTGTGATCTGAAGAAATCTCTGCATTATGGTTCTGTGACAGTCTTTTGAATTGTGGCAGGTAAGGAGATTTAAGCCTGCGTTGGTTGCTGTTAGAAACGAGTCATTGATCAATGAGCTTAAGGAGGCTTTAGCGGATCTGGACTATAAACCCGAGATAATTCCAGGGGAGCAAGGAGTGATTGAGGTTAGTACATTTGTTAGTTTTGATTGTAGTGTAGATTTTCACAAAATTTCTATCCTCATCGGGTTTTTACTTATGTTCATCAACAGGTTGCCCGACACCCTGAAGCTGTAACTGTTGTTACCGGAATAGTAGGTTGTGCGGGACTTAAGGTATATACTCTAGTTTTTGTTACTAAAACTGTATTGAGAGAATATGAAAAAGAAAGTTAAAGATGATAAAATTTGTTGTTTGTTTTGCAGCCTACGGTTGCTGCAATTGAAGCAGGAAAGGACATTGCTCTTGCAAACAAAGAGACATTAATCGCAGGTGGTCCTTTCGTGCTTCCGCTTGCCAACAAACATAATGTTAAGATTCTTCCGGCAGATTCAGAACATTCTGCCATATTTCAGGTATCATATAAATCAAGTAGAATTGAAGTACCTCAACTTTCATATTGAGTTAAGTATTGGTCTTAATGCAATTTCTACCTCTGGCAATTTGAGTGAAATTTCTTCTTTTATGTTCTCTACTCTCTAGTGTATTCAAGGTTTGCCTGAAGGTGCTCTACGCAAGATAATCTTGACTGCATCTGGTGGAGCTTTTAGGTTAGTTTCGATATTCTTCTCTCTGCATAGATTTTTTCCACAACTCTCATTTGGTTAATGGAAAATATTCACTGGAATATGAAATAGGGATTGGCCTGTTGAAAAGCTCAAGGAAGTTAAGGTAGCGGATGCATTGAAGCATCCAAACTGGAACATGGGAAAGAAAATCACTGTGGACTCAGCTACGCTTTTCAATAAGGTTACGATTATTTTCTCCTCAAGTTAAACTCTGATTTTAAAAGTACCTTTGATCAAGGTAGATGAGTTCTTGATTTCTTGAAACAGGGTCTTGAGGTCATCGAAGCTCATTATTTGTTTGGAGCTGAGTATGACGATATAGAGATTGTCATTCATCCTCAAAGTATCATACACTCCATGATCGAAACACAGGTCTGAAAAATAAATAACTGAATTATTTGTCTTTAGGTTTTAAAAAAATCTGTATAACATAGATTTATTTTGTTCCACAGGATTCATCTGTGCTTGCTCAATTGGGTTGGCCTGATATGCGTTTACCGATCCTCTACACCATGTCATGGCCCGATAGAGTTCCTTGTTCTGAAGTAACTTGGCCAAGACTAGACCTTTGCAAGTAAGCAAACCGCATTTATATATTCTCTGTTTATCACCACCAAGAAAATTCCCCAATCTTGTTTTCGGTTTGGTTTTAGTTTGTTTAGATAAGATAAAAATGAAACCGAATCGGTCTTCATTTTGGTTTTGCAATTGTTATTTTGCTACTGTTTTGGTTTGGATCAGTTCAACCGGATTAGACACCCCTATCTATCAGCATTCAGCACCTAAAACCAAAAGTTGATTATAATTGTGGATTTTGGCAGACTCGGTTCATTGACTTTCAAGAAACCAGACAATGTGAAATACCCATCCATGGATCTTGCTTATGCTGCTGGACGAGCTGGAGGCACAATGACTGGAGTTCTCAGCGCCGCCAATGAGAAAGCCGTTGAAATGTTCATTGATGAAAAGTAAGAATTTGTTTTCTCTTTGGGCATCTCACTGAAATTCTTGAAACGAATCACAATTGTTTATATTCTCACTTTTGTTTACAGGATAAGCTATTTAGATATCTTCAAGGTTGTGGAATTAACATGCGATAAACATCGAAACGAGTTGGTAACATCACCGTCTCTTGAAGAGATTGTTCACTATGACTTGTGGGCGCGTGAATATGCCGCGAATGTGCAGCTTTCTTCTGGTGCGAGGCCAGTCCATGCCTGACGAATTGGTTGTTGGAAGAAACATTAATGAAAAAGCGATTGAGAAAATGTGAAAAAGAAGATTAGTGTAGAGAATGGGTTTATACTTAATAGCGTTTTTGGCAGGGATTATGGATTGTGTAGCTAATTTATCTGTGATCCGAACAAGCCAAACCAATAATTTGAAACCATTTTTACCAATAAAACTGATTTTAATTTTTCACATTATATTAATTACATTCATCTAAGGGTTCTTGAAAAGCCTCTGAGCTTCATGAGTAGAGTTTGCATCTCCGGTTGTCGTCGTCATTGGTTTCTTGAAAAGCCTTTGAGCTTCATGAGTAGAGTTTGCATCTCTAGTTGTCGTCGTCATTGGGTTCTTGAAAAGCCTCTGAGCTTCATGAGTAGAGTTTGCAGCTCCTGTTGTCGTCATTGGTTTCTTGAAAAGCCTTTGAGCTTCATGAGTAGAGTTTGCGTCATCATCACATGTGCTACGTTTGCTAGTTGCTTGAGAATTGGCACTCGATTGTTCTTCTTGTTGGGGAGAAACAGTGAATCTGACGAATATCCTCCCATTGATCACCTCTGTTGACATATTGGTCGTAACCGAATCCTGACCACAGTTTGGACAAGGGAATGTCTTGTTAAGATGATTCTTCCTCGAAAACTGACAATATCTCGTTGTGCATCTATTGCACACTGTCGAAAAGGTCACGTCCACCGGTTTCGAAGAAGAAGAAGGAGAATCAGGCTCTGCAGGCTTATTACACGAAGCTCGTTCGCTCTTTTCCTGTTTTGGTTTCCTCTTATGATCATACGCAATTCTCTTAGCTTTATCAGATAGTAGTGTCCAAGCATCTAAAACAAGCTTAAACGCACCTTCTGCGCCATTAAACCTGTTCTTGTCCGGGTGAAGCAAAAGAGCTAAATTCTTGTAATGTTTCTTCACTGTCTCGTCATCAGCTAAAGGATCTACACCAAGGATTCCATACCAATCAGATTCTCCTCCTTCTTTGTTTGATGCAGAAATATAAACATGGATCATCATCAAAACTTGTTTCAAACCATCGAGCTTTGGATACAGATTTTGAGCCTTGTTAATGAATTTCTTTGCACCATTGTAATCGTTCGCAGAAAGTTTCTTCTCTGCAATATCCATTGCTCTTTTAGCTTCTTCCTTATTACATTCCATCGTCGAGAGACTTGAAACGTCTTATCTTAGAGATGACTCGAGAAACTGAAGAAGCTACGAGCGCGATAATGGTTTTTGTTGCTCAGGCGATGGGTTTACTTAATTGGTGGTGATTTCCTTTTTTTTTTCTCGCATTTACTTTTTGATTACTAATTTCTCTTTCCTTTTTTTTTTGTTTTCCATTATTTGAAGCAATCAAGAAAGATTTGCATCAATAAGACAATAACCTATTTTTTTCAAAAATAATTCTCTGATTTCAAAAAATAAATAAATAACTAAATAACCACCACCACTACTTCATTTTATTAAAAACGTCTTCTTTCATAGTATAACAATTTTTATTATTTTCATAGTATAAAAATGTAAAATGTAAAATGTGAAGTAGAAATTAAGAGGGGTAAAAAACAAAAACACCCACATCACTCACCTATTTTTCATAATACTAATCTAAAAAATGTACCGCCAAATATAAGGAGCTATAAAGTTTATTTTTTGAGTAAGTGAACACGATAGCCAAATACTACAATCCATGAAACAAAACATTTTCTGTTTCTAATACTTGCAATAAACCTTGAATTATAAATCAATTTAGTTACGAGTCGTATTCATATTAGAGTAGGGATAAAGACAGAAATGCACGCTTTTTAACCTACTCCCACCGCTAAAATCATTAGGAATAATTTTAACTTCTAAGTCATATATGAAACACCTTAACATTAGATTAATAATTTGTTTGGCAAAAGCGGTTTGGAACAATAGAAGTGTTGATTTGTCGACTCATTATTTTGCAGTAATGATGCTTTTTTATAAATGTACTAGGAAACCAATTGGTCGGTTTATGATCAAAAAAGCTTCAAGTTATCATAAATCGTAGCTTGCAAGTAATTCTTTTCATAATTTAACCTTATTATTTGTATTATCAGTTTATCTGAGGCGGTACTTGGTTTCCTAAAAGATACATGTACAACTTGTAGGTTGTACTTTAGATTGTATTTAGATTATAAATTAAGCTATAAGGGTTGTTAACTGAAAAAGAAAATATATACTTAATGTTAGTATAGTTTGGCTGATAAGACGTTTATTTTTGTTGGTTTAGTAATGGAATTGGATAATAAAATCTATTGGTTCAAATCCTTGATATACATCTCCAATTTGGTAATCCAGCTCATTTGAATTTGTTGCGGATTCCACTAAACATATTTTAAATATAGACAAGACACCAAATATGAAGTTTAATTAGAAGATGAATGAATCGACGACTACTATTAAATTAATCTAATCTTTTTAAATGCACTTTATATTATGTAGTTGGGATGACTCGAGTCAAGTCTCTCAATCAATAGTGTGAACACATATCGCTTTATAGAAATTTTGAACAAGACGATCTCAAGGCAAACCAAACATTCCTACAATATCCACCTAAAACTTATATATCCAAATTAACAAATCCATCTCTATATTTAAAAAGGTATACGAGACTATCCACACGTTAACGTATAACACGTTAATGGACCACAACACTTTTGAGTGTCTAAAACAAAGAAACATACAACACTTATCCAAATTTTGAATTTATTATACACACATACATTTAAGTAACTTAAACTTTAATTGATCACATAATTTAATATATCGTGTGTAGACTTGAATCTGCCTAAATCATATTGTTAGGTGAAACAATTCAACATTATGATGAGGAAGAATAAAAATTGAATAAGTTTATTACGATAAAACGAATAAAACCACTATTAGTCTCCTCCATTCCAATAATCAAACCACCAAAACTTATACATTATCTATTTAAACCGACAAATTTAAAAAATATTCGAAAATAAAATTATTTACTTTCTCGCCAACACTCAAGATTTTCTCGGAAACTAATAAAAGAAAAAGGTTGAGAGAGAAAATAAATAAAAGTAAAAAGAAAAAAAAAAGTAGGAAAAAGAAAGAAACCGAAGCCCACCCAAAGTCCGCGTCTTGGAGAGCCACGTCACCATCAAAAAGGACGTAAATGACGACTTAGCCCATTCACATTTTTTAATATTCCAATCATGTCCTTTCTATACGGCACATACGTCTGTCGTTTCGTCTCTTCCCTTTCCATTTCTTCTTCCTCGCCGCCATTTCCATCCTCCTTGGACGGCGGTTCTTTATCGGAGACAGTCTCGTCGTTCTTCTTAACCGGCGCCGGAAACACGAGCTTATCGTTTCCTTCGCTGCTGCTTCTAACGTACAGAAGATTCCGGAGATTCCAACGTTTCGAGAATCCAGCTGAATGGCTTTTGATTTTGCTTTGTGACGGAGAAGACGAGAGACCTTGAAGATCATCATCTCCAGAATTCGATTGTTTTGGTTTCCATACACAGTACGTCTCCGGCGGAACTCCGGTTAGATCCTCTTCAGCTTCCGAAAAAGAATTCGATGACGGATCTCTATCCTCGCTCATCAGTTTTCTCAACGCCGGTCTACGACGACGAGGAGGAAGAGTAGTACTCGGTTGAGATTCTACCGGAGCATTTCCAATTCCGCCACCGTACGGATTCAACGGACGGATCTGACCGTTGCAGAAAATCTCGTCGGCGGTAGCGAGAGGTTGAGAACACGTGTTGCTTGGACAATCGAAAGCGAAATCGGAATCATTATCGTCGTCGCGGTGGTGAGAGTCGGGTTGTGTCTGCTCCTGAACTCTGAATTCTTCGACGACTCTAGCGGCGATTGCGGCAAGGTCTACGGCGGAGGAGAAGCTGCCAAAACTCGGAGAGTTAGAAGAAAAGGAGAGTAACCGACTCGTCTGCATTTGAGAGAAAGTTGTTTCTTGCCTCAGTTTTCTGAAACTGAAACGTTTTGTGAGAGAGAGAGAGAGATTGTACGCTTCGAAAATTGGGTCCCGTGGAATATTTATATGGGAAAAATAAAAAATCTTTGTATTTTTTTTGCATTCACGGAGAAAAAACAAATTGAAATGATTACATTAGTGGCGATTAATTGTTATTTAATCAGGAGCCAAAATCTAACTTAATTTAATTAATGATCATGATTCTAACAAGGAGCGTAATGAACATAAACCACTAACGACGTCAAATGAAATTAAATAAACCACTGACGTTTAAACTTAACCACTTGTTAAGAAAAATAAAGGAAAAGAAGATAAGTCTCCACTTTTTAAAAAATCGGTATCGGTCTTGGTATTAAAGTATAACATGAAAATTGTTACTTATCTTCTACGATGTCACGTTTAATCAGACAATCACATCACGGGGTGATAAAACTTATCCTTTAGTTATTTTTTTTCTGTATAAACTGAATATTCAAATGTTAATGATGTCACAAAAATGACGTATGTAAACCTTAAACGTAGGTTAGGAAAATGTGGTAAGGATTAAACGACATATGTTATTGTATTAGCCGTTCATTCGACATCGTGATGGAGGACATAGCTTACGATCATCGGCTTTGATCATGCCGCTAGGCATTTGATTAAGACATTGCACAATGATCCGAAGACTTTGTCGCATCTCTTCGATACGTTAATTCCATGAACTGATGTTCATGTACTGTTGTGTTAATATTGTTATTGTATCATAATTCAAGTTTTAACGAGTTGTTAAGTGTTAACACACATAAATGAAGCCTATATGTTATCCTATGTCAATGATATGTAAACGAGTATTTTTTTTTTTAACTCTAAAGTACAAATGATTTATATATGAAATTGTGAACGTAAACATTAATACAGTGTTTTGGTTACCACTATTTTTTGTGTGTTTCTGGCTCTACTGACCACGATAATCATCGGACCTTAAATCCTTAACTTTTATTTGGGCCTTTAGGTCACATTATGGGACTTAGTATAAATGGGCCTCCACCACCAGAATTAGGTGATTATTCAGATCACTGTTTGATACAATTAGCAACTTGAAATATATATTATTCAGATCAAACTCAAGCACAGTTCAAAGTTTTCAGCTTCTCTCAGAAACATTAGTTTTTTATGTTCATCAATTTGATCACATAAACCCTAATTTAGATTTTAGAACACTCTTGCAATATCTCCAAGCTCCTTAATCATCAACAATGGATAATAATTACGAGAACTATCATCACCACCATCAACAACAATGGCGTCCAGCACCAACACAGCCAAACATATGCCCGATTTGTACAGTGCCTCACTTCCCCTTTTGTCCCCCGTATCCTCCTCCATCTTCTTTCCCACACAACCCCAACTTTCCTCCTCCTCCTCCTCACCTCAATTCACCTCGTCCTGGTTTCGATTCGTTCACCGGACCACCGGTTCGACCACCGCAAAATCACTTTCCGCCGTGGCAACCTCACCACGGAAACCAATGGCGACCAGTTGCCGTTGATGGTGATATGGAAGCTGATCGGAGATATAAGAGAGCTCGGATTGATGCGATCGCCGGTGGTTCTCCCGGTTACGGTGTTTCTGGTGCCGATGGTTATCAGAGTCCTCGGATCTCATGGGAGAATGAGCGGAGGTTGAAGATGGTTCGTGATCATGGTTACGGTTTAACTGCGCAGTCTCCGGGAAATCTAGATGTTTCCAATGTTGAGATGAATCATCAGTATGGGAGGAGTGAATTTAGGAATGGAGGTCAGTTTAATGGTGTAGCTCCTCCTCCTGCTCTGCCTCATCATCCGCCGCCGTACGGAGGCTATTTTAGCGGTCCTAACGGTCAGCCTCCTCTTCCGGTTTCTCCACCACCGCCTTTGCCTCCATCTCATCCGCCGTCTCATCCTTCTTCACTGTTTCCCGTCACTACTAATTCGTCACCAACGATCCCTCCATCATCATCATATCCTCAAATGCCTAATGCTTCTGTAATGTTGCTTTCGTGGTTTCCTTCTTTCTTCGAAATATCTTGTTTTGCTGTACTGATAAATCTCTTATTGTTTGGTAGCCATCTTCTGCACAATTAGCACCAACTCGGTCTAAAGTAGTTGATGTTTCCCATTTGCTGAAGCCTCCTCATCGATCTACTCGTCCAGATCACTTTGTAATTATCCTTCGAGGGCTACCAGGTTCTTTTCTAAGCCTTCTCTTTTGCTTTTTGCGTCGAGTTGTTACATGATTTCAGTTCTTAGCGTAACCTCTTGGAGCAAACAATATAATCTGCACTACTTTTTGCATTTGAATGACTTTGAAAGGTGTTTGTATTTAAGTACATGTGTTACTGAGTAATAACTCCATTTGTATATATATTCAGGTAGTGGGAAGAGTTATTTAGCCAAGTTGTTGCGTGACATTGAGGTTGAAAATGGTGGTAGTGCTCCACGAATCCATTCTATGGATGATTACTTCATGACTGAAGTTGAGAAGGTTAATTAATTTAATCCTCATAGTTCTTAAGACGTTCTCAAAAGAATGGTTTCTTTACTCGGGACCATCAAAGGGCTCTAAAATTGTGTTGTTTTGTCAATGTAAAAGGTTGAGGAGAGTGATTCAACTTCTTCAAGCTCTGGTAGAAGCAAAAGACCTAATGTGAAGATGGTCATGGAATACTGCTTCGAACCTGAGATGGAAGAGGTATCTTTTCAACATATAGCTTGAGATAAATGAAATACGAATATAATAAACCACAGATATATATATCTTTTGTTAAGTTTCTTGCCACTCTTGGATTCTCAGGCGTATCGTTCAAGCATGCTAAAAGCTTTTAAGAGGACACTTGAAGATGGGGCCTTCAGCTTTGTAATCGGTAATGATTTTCTCATAACTGCATACTAGAATGTAGGATATATATAACAGCTTTGAAATTTTATTTCCTTGCAAAAGCTATTTGGTATCTGTGATCTGATGACATTATCTCTTTTGGTTTCTTGATGTTGACATGATGGCTACTACTTTTCTCTTTTGAGCAAACATTTCGCCTGATATGGTTTCTCTAGTTTCTTAGTATATATTGCAACATGTAAGATCTTTGTTTAGAGATTCTATTCATCTAGTTTAGCTGGGAACTAGGTGGTGCAGTGTCCAAGCACTACTTTCATTTTCTCTAACCACGGATGCAGTTTGTTTTCTGGAATTGACCGTTTCTTGCTGGTATATGTCACTCATCTTAGTGGATGACCGCAATCTGCGGGTAGCTGATTTTACTCAGTTTTGGGCAACAGCAAAGGTATATCCTCACTTCTTCCTGTATTACCTTGTGGAGTTTGGATGTTGTTTGCGGATTCTATGGAAGACTCATAATGATTTGTGAAGTCAACTAGCATCTTTAGTGCTTAGTTATCCTTGGTTTTTCAAGTGTCTAGATAATTTCATATGCACTAAACGTTAGTGAAGTCTAAAATTGTTTTTTACACAAAATTTTCTAGTAAGTTGACAGGTCTGACAATATTTTAGTTAGTTATCTCAACCTCCTCACGAATTAGCATAATGCTCTGTCCAAGTTTATAGTGACCTTGCATTTCCCTAGATTTGAGATTACGAGTCTTCTTTCCTCAGCATCTTCATAATCTTTTCTTGAAAACTATTTTTCCAAAGTTACTCCTGTACATTAGTTATTGTTCAGTCCTGTATATTAGTGAATGTGGTCTTTCAAAGATATGTCTATTCTCTCTCCCCCTTTACAACCTTCTTGGTTGTGTATTTATCATCAAAGAGGACATTGGCGTGGGGTAACTTGCAAGTTCTTATAAGTCCTTTCTCCTTTATATTGCTAATTCCCTCTTTTATAAGATGAGTCATTAGTCTTGTTAATGACCGTATGTACTATTTATAGTGATATTTTACCTGCAAGTTGTAGTTGTTATTAATTTTTCTGCTTGCTTCATGTTGCTTTCTAAACATCGTGTGAGGTTGCCATTCTTTTTAAATTTTTGTAACCTTGCATTCACTGACCAATATAATTTGTAATATGTCCTTTCCTATTTATTTATAAACAAGTAGTGGTAGCTTTGGGCAATCACTACTCCTCATCCCCTTTTGTTGCTTGCCACCGTGCTTGTTGATTTTCTTGTTTATCTATGATTCTATGAAAATGAAAGTTGAAGAATTATAGATGGCTTCTTGAACAGCTTAAAACTAATACGATATAAATAAAAAGCTTTGAATTCGAGAATTCACCTTTTCCTCTTTTGCTGAATTTCAGTTTGATTCAATTTTCTTTTGCCTCGATTTTGCTCAGTGAACAGTTTCTTCATTCTATTTACCTGAAATGTAGATGCCGACGATCTCTTTTCTGTGTATGATTGTATGCTTGTTGTAAATGATGAACCTTGAATTGTTACTTATTGTAACATTTGAAACCAGTTCAACTGAAACATGTCTGTTGTCCAGTATTGAAAATGAAAGATTTATCTTAATCGTTCTTGGAAGTTTCCTTGACTTTCTGTTTCTTTTTGCAGAGATCTGGATATGAAGCTTACATATTGGAATCAACATACAAGGACCCGACTGTGAGTTCTCTGCATACTATTTACTCTTTGATAACTTAGATTTTGTATCAATTGTACTTTTCATTTTTAGCCTAGATAAATAGGAGCACACTAAGATTATTATCATATTTATATATAATGTCATTCACTTGGTGTTCTAAGCGTGTGCAAAATTACAGGGCTGTGCTGCAAGAAACATACATGGCATCACACTAGATCAAGTACAGCAGATGGCAGAACAATTTGAAGAAGCTCCTTCATTGTACATGCAGCTGGATATCAAGGTTCTTATGCCATTCTTTTTCTTTCCAACTTTGACTTTGCTTTTTGATAAATGTGAAGAAGGCGCCAAATTAACTCCTTCATGTACGATTTGGCGTTGACCTAAAGGAAACTGATCTTAAGATGAGCTTCATGCAGCGTTTTTTGGGATTTTAAACAACACTAATCTCGTTTTGTTGCATTTTTTACAACATCTTATATGTGATCTTTTTTTTCTGTGATAGTCTTTTACGCGGTGGGATGACCTGAAGGAGAATGGAATCCAGGAGGTAACAGAAAATATCTTTTTGTACCTCTCTGTCCTTGAGTAAACAAGGGTTAAAAAATTTCTTGTTTTGACCATTGTTTCAATCTTGGCCATCATTGTTTGATCCAACCTCATAAAAATGCTCTAGGTGGATATGGACATGGAAGATGATTTCGAACTGCCAGAAAGAAAATCGGATATCAGTACCCAGTCAGAAGAAAAGGGTGCGACAGAGGGTAAATTTGAATGCTTTCTTTATACTGTCTTCTTATTTTTACTAAGACAAACCGACAACATTAGCTGTGTCTTTTTTTCTGTTGATATCATCTCAGGCTCTTACAAAAGTGAGAGTAAATGGGAAGCAGAATCTGGCTCCCGTACAGAAGAAGTGAAAGAACTGAGCAGAAGTAAATGGTCAAATGTAGAAGAAGATGAAACAGAGAACTCTCAGAGCGTGAGACGAAACTCCAAATCTCTTCCCAAGTCAAGCCAGCAGAAAGGCAAATCTGTTTGGTGGGGCGATAAGGTATAACATACACATCTTTGCTTGTTCATTATGTCTCTAGAAGTTCTGTTAGCTTTGAAAACATGTTTTATCTTCTGGAAAGTATCTGATACATGCTTGTTATTTCTGTGGATAGGGTGGAGATGCGGGGTTTTCAATTGGTGCTGCAAGGTATACGAACATGCCATCTTTAGTTATAGGTCCAGGATCAGGATACAACTTGAAATCGAATCCTCTATCGGAAGAAGAGAGTCGTGCACTCGCTGATGCAATTGGAAAAGCAAAGGTAAGAGGAATTTTCCAGGATCAGCTTAGAGCAGAGCGTGAGTCTTTCAAAGCTGTTTTTGACAAGAGACATGTATGAATCGTTACAAAGGATAAGTAAGTGTATGATTTTCTCTGGGTAATCAAAATTTTTTTTTCCTGATCCATGAGAATCATCATCAGTTCCACTTTTCATTCACATATCGACCAACAAATTTGAGAATCTTGGGAAAATAAAATAATCCACTGTTCTGTGTTTTTTTATAATTGGGATTATGAATTCCTCCAATATTTATCTGTGTATGCATGTACAAACTTGTTACTATTACGAGAAAATAAACATTTATTTTTGAGATAGATTATAAACTATAATAATTTTTTTGTGTATGTATGTAGAATATTGATTTGATTACTGGTACAAATTTTCTTACAAGTTGATCTGTATAATTCAAAACCACCAAGTATACGGAACAGTTTAGTGAAAGAGAAAGCAACAAACAACATGAAGCATAGGCTTAATGAATCGCTGCATAAGTTTTAGTTAATAATCTTATCGTACCATTGTGATTTGTGAAAACCTTCCTCTTTATATGTATGATGATCATCCGACAAAACTACTTAAGGGCTCTGTGGATGAGCGTAAAAGATTGATCATTCCACAAAACTAAAATCCTAAAGATAGAAAAGGAAGCAACATACGAAACTCCATAATTCTCGTTACAGAAGTAATATGTACGGATGTGACCATTTTATGTCTAAATTTAGCTGAAGATCCTTTGTAATAAAAGGGTAATTTCTTAGTTCCACAAGAAATATGTAAGAAAGTTTTCTAGATTTAAGCACTATCTAAGAAAAACAAAATCAAACCCAAATCTCATAAAGAATAATGGGAGAAACAGAAGAGAAAGTGAAGAACCATGGTGATAACAAAGAAGAGGAACACAACAAGGCTGAGAAAACTGAGAAGAAGGAGAAGAAGAAAGATAAAGATAAGAAGGATAAGAACGAGGACGATAAAAATGGTGGAGGAGAAGAAGGAGAAGATCAAGAGAAGAAGAGCAAGAAGAAAGATAAGAAGGCGAAGAAAGAGAAGAACCCTGAAGATAAGAAAGATCCAGAGAAATTGAAGATGAAGCTTCAGAAGATTGAAGAAAAGATTCAAGCTATGGTCCTAAAGAAAGATGAGATTGTGAAGCTTATTCATTTGGCTGAGCAAGCTAAGCCTAGTACTGCTGCAGTAGATGCACCACCACCAACTAACTAATTCGAATACAAATTATATACTACCTTAAGTTAAGTAATATATATGTCAATAACAAATGCTGATGAATGTTATTTTCAGCGTATCTTGGTATAGGGTTTTTGTTTTGTTTTGTTTGATATCAATCAGAGTTTGCTTGTAAAATAATCTGTTGTAAGTTGTACAAAAATTATCTGTTTTTAATATAATACTTATCAGCTTAATACATATTGGTAATTCTGATGTATAAACCACATTGAAAGGACTATAAAGTTCATGTTTATGACTTAATAATTCAAGACCACAACAATGCATTCAAATGGGTCAAATGATATTGAAATCTAATGAACCTTACCTATAAGATTACATCATTCCTTTTTATTAAACGAAAAAAAAAACAAAGTCAATGTTTTGATTATCTTTTTGATTATAGGATCCGTTAACACAAATATCTAGACTTGCCAAATCCGATTGATTTATTGTCATTACGTGTTTGGTTGGTTGGATCTATATGTAGGCATCAGAATCTACATTGGTTGGTGTAAAAAGAATTCTGCAACTACCACTAAACTACAACATTATGGTTTAAAAAGGACTAGATAAATAAAAAAGTTGAGACTTGTGAAGACTTGTGAGAGACGTTGTAACACATTATAGTAGCTTGGTATTGGGTTGAAATATTGAAGAAAACTGAGGGGCAAGATGGTAATTAGTTCTTCAACCATGAAAGTGGAAATAATAACACTCTGCAACTGCAATGTCTAATAACCAAAAAAGCTGAATTATCTTCTTCTAGCTACTAGGATCATTTGTTATTAAGTATATAAAGAAACATCGTGCCAAGTTCATACATCACCATCCTACTTATGACTATTAATTTCTCATTATTTCATATTATATAAAGTTAACCATGTGAAAGTTTTATCTTTTGGAGATGAATTATTGATCAAAAATATAAAAGGCCCTGCAAAATTTATGACAATGTCAATGTCTTCTTGCCTTTAAAGGAAATGGCACTAATTTCATGTAGGTGAAGGAAGTTTCCTGCGAAATTTCTTCACCCTACGTAATAATTAGTTGAATGAGAAATAAAAACATTCTTAAGAACTAATAATCTTTAAGCAACTCAGAAATTTGAGAGAGTCTAAGTAAATGTTAATTTTTCATTGCACTATTAATTTGACACAAAAGATGTCACCAAATATTTGTCTTTGCATTTAATCTTCTGATTTAGTGTTCACAACTTTGATTATATCACCATAATTCATGTACGACAATACTAAATAGAAATAAAAAGAAAAAGGAAAAAAGAGTTCGAACATAATCCAAAAGAAAGAAGAGATGATAATCACATCACACCATAGTCAAAGAGAAGAGAACATAATCAGTCAATCCACTTCAAGAAAGGTTTGCGGACGAGCCTTGAAGAAGGCCATCTCTGATCTGAGTAGCAACATCGCGAACAGCTCCTGGTCCATGCGGTATGAACACAGCAGAAGACTTGGAGCTAGCACCAATCTCCTTCATTGTGTCAAAGTACTGTGTAACAAGCACCATGTCCATCACATCTTTAGCAGTTGTCCCAGGCACATTCACAGCGAAACCCAAAACACTATCGCGTAGTCCATCTACAATCGCTTGTCTCTGACGGGCGATACCCAGACCCGAGAGGTACTTGGACTCAGCTTCACCTTCAGCTCGCTTAATCTGCAGAATTTTCTCAGCCTCTGCCTTCTCGTTTGCAGCCAATCTCATCCTTGCAGCTATAAACAAGAAGCAGAAACTCAGATTTGAGGATTTACAAGAAGCAGGAATAAGTAAAGAGTATATAAATGATGGGAAGCTATGTTAGTTACCAGCATTGATTTCGTTCATGGCCCGTTTAACATGTTCATCAGGCTCGATATCAACAATGAGAGTTTGCACAATCTCATAACCGTAAGCCGACATAGCCTACAAGAGTGACATAGATACAAATTTGAACACTCATAACTTCACAAGCAGAAAGAGACCAAAACACACAAAGAATACTATACCTTCTCGAGCTCCTCTTCAACAGCTTTAGCAATATCATTCTTCTGCTCAAAGACATCATCAAGAAGCAACTTCGGGACACTTGCTCTAATGACTGGAACAAAAAAACTCTGAATGATCAATATTCTGAACACAATCATTTAGTATCTAAAACATGTTTTTTTTTTTTTAACAATGAGACTTACCATCAAACACATAAGCTTGAATCTGACTCCTTGTGTTGCTGAGTTTGTAGTAGGCATCATTGGCCTTATTAGCTAAGGCACGGTACTGAATCGATGCAACAACATTAACAAACACATTGTCCTGGAAAACACAAACAAAAAAAAAGAAAGATTAGTACTACACAGAAGCTAATCAAAACAAAATTTTGATAAAGAGAAGAATCTTAAACCTTAGTCTTGGTCTCGCAACGGACGTCTAGTTGCTGAACCCTTAGAGAGAGGTAACCAGCAACTTGACTACCAAGACACCATGGAAGAAAATGGCAACCAGGCTCAAGAACTTCTTCGAATTTCCCAAATGTTTCTTTTATCGCTACCGTTGATTGATCCACTTGAACACAGCATAACAAATTTCCCATCTTTCTTCTCTTCACAACCTAACCCATCAGAAACCAAAAAAAAAAATCAAATTTTTATTGAAAATTCTGAAGATCATAAGCATAAGAACAAATACTGAACTCAAAGATTGTAAATTTAACATGAAACTAGCCATATCCCACCGGAAAATTTGAGAAAAGATCGCTCTTTTTTTCTCTCTCGATCTAATCTCACGTACCCAGAATATACAAAAATCAGCCCCGAAATTTGGAATTTCAGAACAAAAATATGCCTTTGAACACAGATGGTTCACGTAAAGATAAGATAGATCAAAAGAAGAAGAAGATGATAGATAGGGTTTTACCGAAATTTCTCCGTTCTCCGATTAGATTTGCTTAAGAGCTAAGTTGATATTTCAGTGGGTAGAGACGGTTTTATTTATATACAGGAAAGACCTCAATAGTTTTCAACTATTTCGAATTGTTACCCTTTTTATTTATTATTTACAGAATATGCCCAACATAATTTCAATTATAGGAAAAACCCAGGAACTTTTGACGAGATAATCTAAATTCATTATTCTTTAGTTCTTATCTAGATTCAGAAATTATTATCTGCTTATACCAAAAAAGGAAAAGGAAAAAAAAAAACTGTTTTCTGTTATATCTGTGATAAATATAAACATATAGGGTCTTAATTTAGAGAATTTTAAAAAGAAAAGGATGAGTTGTTGAGCCGGTTCGATTGATATAAGTCGAAGATTATTCCACAAATACATCGGAAAAGAATCTCATTACCAGTTAGTTTTTATTTAGTGTTTGGACAAAAATAAACTTTATTACAATCTTCGTAAAGAAAAAGAGCAAAAGGAAGCTTCATTACAAGTTACAATCTGTCAATCTTTTACGTTACGTGAAAATAGGGACTACTTGCCACTATAAAATGATCTTATGAGATTAATTTGTTTTGGACATATCAAAATATAGATAATAGATCGAACGAAAAATGAGAATATGCTTTAGCCTTTGAATATTTGAGATATTTTCATAATTACGTACAATCTTCCACATTTATTTCACTAATGATGATAATTCACGCTTTAGTCTTTCTCATCTTCCATCTTTTCTAAAATTGCTGAAACTCTTTTTAAGCATATTTTAAAGGCTTAATAAATCAGTGCGTGGTTAAAAGTTAAAACTAAAACAGCGATTGTGATTTAACTTGCATCTTCTGTTTTTTTTTTTAATAAGGAGCGATTGTGATTTACAGATGTACGGTATTATTTATTTGATAAACGCAGCAAATACAAACATTAATTACAATTATATTTCATGGAATATTAACTATAAATGAAAATAATAATGTCTTTATAATCATATTAAATGACATATCCGTGAAATTTGAGCTTGTACCCTAGCTGTAAAAACAAATCTAGCATCATAGTAACTTCTTCTCCAAGAAACCAAACCCTAGACATAATCTAATCGATTATTATTAAGAGACGACAAATTACCCTACAATAAGTTCTAGACAATACAATTATCGATATATATGCTTAGGATCTACCCTTGGTTCGACCGGTACACATAACGACTAGCCCAAAAGAGGTAATGCAAGAAATTGATCCCACTAAGCACACACATGAGCCAGTAGAATCTCTCGAGGTGGTACTGATTTAGATTCTTCCCCAAAAGCCATGGATTGTGATGGTTTAAGCCTGTTACGAAATTAACAGCCGAGACAAGAACAGAGCTCAAGTAATATCCCATCGCAAGAGACGCCCATGAGAGCGAGGTTGCAAGGGAACGCATCGTAGAAGGAGCTTCGGTGAAGAAAAACTCCATCATACCGGCTAGAGTGAATAGATCGGCTGATCCAAGAAACACATATTGAATAGCCACCCAAAGAAACGTTATAGGAAGCGGCGAAGAAGAATAAGAAGATGAGTTGTTGTTTGAGCAGCAAGTAACAACGACGTGCTTGCGTTTTGTTTCCACTAAGGCTGCCACCGCCATTGCTACTATGGAAAGGACTAGCCCTGTTCCGATGCGTTGAAGATGGGTTATGCCGGTTTCGGTATTTGTTGTTTTTCTAGCTAGAGGGAGGAGGAGGTGGTTGTAAGTTGGAGCTAAGATCATCATGAATACGACTGGAAAAACTGGTAATGCCGCGGGTGGGACAGTAAATGACCCGAGCTTCGTGTTCATCGTCGAAGCTTGTTGGACGGAAAACGTCGAGAGCTGAGCTAGACAACAGTTAAGCATAATGGTAGACATGAAAATAGGTAAGATCTTGATGACTATCTTCACATCTTTGACTTGATCTTCCGTGCAATGGAGTGGACCTGGTATCGATTCACGCTCTCTCACAACTTCACCTAGGAAAGATCCAAGAAATCCATCTTCTCCGTCGCAGTTTTGCTTGGCTACGTTGTCATCACAATCATTTCTTGTATGACACGTGACAACGTTTCTTGAAGTTCTTCTTTTCTTATACTTAACGTAGAAAGAAGCGGTTAAGACCTTGAATAGAGTTGTGATGGGACTTCCACTAGGAACCTTGAGGCGATAAAAGCGAGAACCGGCCAAGAAAACCGGGACCGATATTAAGATCGCTGCCGTGGAGACACCGAAACCATAAGACCAGCCTTTGTTGTCTTCGAGCCAGACCACGACAGTGACGGCTATCAAGGCACCGCACGAGAGGCTAAATATGAAGTAGTTAAAGAAGAAGGATCTTTGCCTCCTCCCACTAGATGTTTCTTCGTCGAACTGTTCCGCTCCGTGCGGTGGCAACGAGCCTTTTATTCCTCCGACACCGAGAGCTACTAAATATAGACCCACAAATAGAACTACACGAGACCATGGCTCGGTAGAGTGCTCGTGGGCTTGGACCGTTAGTACCATTAAGCCCTGTGTGTTCCACAAAATTGTGTGCTTTAAAAGGTTAGATATTCATACTAGAGCTTCTATGTAATTTTTATATCTCGTATTTGATGTATATTAAAAAAAATACGTAGAGCATTTACTTAGAATCAACTGTTTGTGCGAATACACTTGTTACACATTTTTGAAAAAATAAAAGATAAAGTAAGACTATTTATTTATTTATATACATATTAAAAAAATATAATGCTAAAAATGGGAGGAGTTTTTTTATTCTTTCTATTAACATTCAATATTTTTTTGAAGTCTCCTCGTCTGAAGTCCATTTCCAGTGACCTGGTTTTAGGTAAGGTTTTTATTTTTATTTCTAAATAAACTCTAGCTTATCGGGATTTTGTTTTAAAAAGTCAACTGAAATGCTTACCAAGAATTCTATGGCAGCGCTGACTAAATAGATATGGAAAGTAGTGAAGAAGGCGTCTGCCAAAAACCCTCCGAGAAGGGCCAAGAAAAACGCCGTTCCCATAAAAGCGGTTACGGCATTTGCTGCTCCCGAAGGCGAAAATCCCATCTTGGTTGACAAATACAGCACTAGGTTGCTCGCGTTTGCCAAAAACGCAAGGTTCTCCAACACTTCCACAGCTAAAAATGTACATGAATATATCATATCAATTAATACTGCGTTTGTAATAAGTAATGTTTTGAGTGATGTAAAAATTTTGGTGTGAGATTCTTAACAATTAGATTAAGTTGAAACTATCATTTGATAGAAAAAAAAGAATCTAGAATATCATGTAAAAAATAAAAAGAGTATAGTTTGTATATATACAACTATATTCTCGATTTGTAAGATAGAAACATATAGTTTGTAGTAAAAATGAGTTTCAGAATGACTCACCCAAGACGAACGATGCAGCAAGCATACCGCCATGGCGGCCACGCAACGCCGGTCTATTTCGCCAGTCTACATAACCATTCCACGTGCTTAACCTGTTTGCTTCATCCTACATATATTTACACAAATGTTGTCAAATTGTCATATAATCATTTCTAACTCTCAGCTTATACTAGTCTGAACTTTTAGTTGGATTTAGAAATTTTGGAGGAGAGAGTTAAAACTCACCATTTGCTCAAACGCATGAGACATGATGATCAAGAAACAGCTGTTTGGAGAATGAAAGTGAAGTATATGATTAATGGCAATAGTGTGTAGACATTTATAGGGAGGGAGAGAGAGAGAGTGGACGTGAGGGGAAAAAATTGGTGTGTGGTTATTACAAACAAGCGAAAACTCTAGAGACTAAACGTACAACTTCGAAAACAAAGAAATGTTACTGTCTTTGATGTTGACTCTTTTATGTATTTCCTCTGTTTCTTTCCTCGTTAACAAGGCACCGTGCATAACTGCATCTCCTAGAAGTTTAACTTAGCCAAATTTTGCTACTTTTGGTTTACAAAATTTCTATAACGTAAACTGAATAAAAGACGCAACTACTTAACTCATAATCAATCAACTATGTTAGAATATTCCAGAATCCAGAATATAAATGGAGATGAATCTAGTATATAGTATATAGATCAACTGATTGGTTTGAATTAGAAGTTCAAAATTCCTAACAACAATAAAATCATTCATTAATTTTATAATGTACGTTGTCCACGTAAATAAACCATTATTGTATAAACAAGAGTCTCGCGAACATGCGTTTGTTAAGTGGGCACTATGGAATTGGAAAATGTGCTTTTGGTAAGCAATTTTCTAAAACCAAAATGATCTTGTCAAACATGATCTTTTTTTTTTCCGTCAAAAATTATCTTAAAACATTAGTTGTTAAAGAAAAATTCTATCGTCGTTAGTTTAAGACAAAATAGCTACATGTTTCTTTAAATTGACCTTTTTACTCTTGCACAATCCCACATTAGTAACAAAATTTTATGGGGATCGGAGTCTATGATGAAATTAATATTTCATGAAATTGAGTCAACTAACAAGATAAATAACACGGTCCACAAAATTTAAGACGGTTATTCTGGTTTAGATATAAATTCAATTGCTAAACCAGATTATATGTCCCACAATGTAGCCTTTTGTTGGTCTTTCACGAGCGATAAACAAATATCTTGAGGAATGTCGTCGTATCTCTTCGAAAATTGAAAAGTTTTTGTAAGTAATTGGAGAATTCAAAATGTAAAACCGGTTAAGCATTAATCGGTTTGATAATGAATGATCGTGTTGTAAAAGAGGCGGTGAGAACGACCCTACCCATCTCTCAAATCTTATTGGTTCATACGCAAAATAGAAAGTTGTATTTATTATTATAAATACTGAAAGAACAATTGATATGAATATTTCATATGCAAGTTGTCTACAACATTTAACTCTTGTGATAACGATATTCTTGTCATTGTCACGCGCAAGCAATTTTTTAATCTAACTATTTATGCACCGCCTCATTGGTAACTTTGTATGAGGAAAGTGTTTACGAACCGAATCAATAAGAAATAAAACCAAAAGGAAAATCTTGTTGTCAACTTTACGGGTTAGAGCTTGGTAACATACTAAAGTCATGTTTTCCAGTAGTGTATTCTCCAACGTTTTGGGAAAAAATAGCTTTTGCAGCCGGTTTAACCGGCCGGAGACAAACCAACCAAACCGGTACATTCATGCATTATTGATATGTGCATATATATAAGACAAGCTTTTATGCTTTGGTAAATGATTCCCCCATGAGATTGGGTGTATCATTTTTGGGCCACCACCACCACTGCAACAACCACACTCCATTCTTTCTAAAACGCTTTCTGTGGATGATAAAATTTGTCAGGAGCAAATTTTATCAATCGGTACGATAATACAATAGTAACCATCTTCTACAATCATCCAATTTGGGTGGTGGCCTAGTTCTTCCCGCAATTTACGAATGGCCCTACCTTTTTTTAACCTATTGAATGATATCATCTAGACGTTACTACAACGCTCCAAACCGGAATATTTCGGTTTTGTCCCGGTTTTGGTTGAGGACACCGTAGCTGGTTCGTGTTTGGGCAACATGTTGCTTGAGCTTGCATTAGATTCATAAGATATGCATAAATTGGATCGATTTATATAGATAGAAATACTAGAAAGGCCACATTGAAATATTTAAGAATATATATATGGATGGAGTCAGCTTTCGCATTTCAATTTTCCACCAACTCCATTTTCTTTCATTAGGTCTTAAAGATTTGAAGCTAAAGACTAACACATACATCAATCAACCGGAATCTGCATTTTTTAATCAACCGAATCCGGTTAAAAGGGTTGTGGATCATAATTTCCAGGTTTTTATTAAGTTATTTAATGTGATTAGTTACATAAGCTTTAACGGATCAGTATAACAATTTAGCAGTAAAACGTTGAGGCAGTATTTTATAATTTTCTTATTAGTTATTTCAAATAAATTCAGATATATACCGTTGGTTGATTTTATTCATACGGTGAATGTGAAATCAATTACGTACTCTGTGAATACAGAAAATGTAAATAAAAGAGAATAAACATTATATATTTAATTATCAAAAAAAATAAGTGTTGATATATTTTCCCGAACAAATTAGGTTTCAAATATCCTTATTTGGAAACTCAACCTCACCACGACAGCCGTCCAAACATGTGCCAAACAATCCATCTTCAACACACCTGATATTTTTATAAGTGGTATATTTGTCGATTTTTTCTTTTTATAATACAATTAATAACTCTCTAATACGATTCGTATTATAAATATGTTACGTAGTTCTGGAAATTTATGGAGCGAACTATTGTCAAATTTATGGAGTCCACCTTCTCCTTGTGTATCAGTTTAGTTGTCGTTTTAGGATTTAAATTTTGTTTCATAATAGTTGTCGATTTAGGTTTTCAATGCAAATGTTTGGTGAAAATTCCAGTTTTATCCCTACTGTTTTAATGTTTTGGCCAATGAAATTTTTTAAAAAAATATATTAATAAAGGGTAAAACAGAAAATTTAATGTTTTTCTTAATTTGTGTGAAAAAACCTTAAACGACAACTAAAACGAAACGAAACGGAGGGAGTACTTAATAAACAAACTGAGAAGAGCATGAAAAAAAGAGAAGTATATATTTTGAATGAACGTAATTATATTTATATAGTCATTTACATCATACGTTCATATCTTCACAAGATTTCCATCAATATGGGTGTATTATATATCATTAGATCGTACGTGTTGCTTGATGATTCATCAAAATTTCATGTTTTCCTTCAAGTAACATACGATCGATTGCTGCAAAGAGAACAAATTGAATCATATTAGTACTTAATCACGTCAAACCTTATAACCAAAATATTCACCTTTAAACATTATCTTAATTTCATTGTTTTTGAGAAATTACAAAACTTACGAGAATGCATAGGATGACACAAGCAGCTGCACCTGGGAACAATGCATACCAGAAATTCAAGTGATGGAACTTTGCTCCATCTATGAACATTAATGGTAAGCTGGCCGCTGTAATTTAATCAGATGAATTAAAGAAAATAATTAACGAGAAGCAAATGGATAAGGAAATGAAAAAAAAAAAAAAAAAAAAAAAAGAAGAGGAAGAAATAATCGCATATGATTTTATTTTATTTTTATTATAAAGACCGATAAAATTGTGAAGAGTATATGAAGGGGACGTTTCTGTTCCAACCAAAAGTTTCAGGTTATTCATGAAGGGTTAACCAATGGGTGGATTGGATTTGGTTTGGTTTCCTTTTGGGCCTTTTTGGTTTGATTCATATATTATGGGCTAAAAATCAGAAGGTTTTATATATAAAATTTGCATCATTTTTCCTTTTTATAATAACAAGGTCTAAAAATCGAACAGTAATACAATTAAATTATACTATCATTTAAGTGAAAAAGAGTTCGAAACCATTTAATCAAGAAAACAATTTTTGATTTCGGAATAAATTAAAGAAATAAATATTTACCAGGAGGGTGACTGGCACGAGTAATGACCATAAAAGCGATGGAAGCGGCGAGGGCGACACTCCGGGCGAGCCAACCTGGACCGAAGACGGAGAAAGCTACCACTCCAATCGCAGCACAACCTATTTGAGCCAAAAACATATTGTATTTCTGAAAATATAAGAAACACAAAACACACTCCTCAATTAATTAGTTAAATCACTGATATAATGACCAATTAGTGGAAAAATAAATTAGGTTGTCACTCTTTATTCCAGAGAAAAGTGGAAAGCACAAGAACAAAATTAGAAGATAATCATCAACTAGTTTATGGATGTAAGAGTTAGTGGGAAAATATTTCATCTAACTACTAATACTTTCTACCTTTTCACTTTTTAATTCCTCTATGTTTGTTATACACCATTCAAATCCTAACAACTCACTTTAGGTATTTGCATGTTATGTCTCATAGAAAAAAGACAATGAAGCGTTTGCGTTCAACCGCAAATATAATAGACCGCTATTATATGGAAAAGCGGTTAAAGATTTACCCGAGCAGCAGGAGCAGAAGGAGTGATGAAAAGAATGGCGGAGACGGCGCCAAGTGGTGCAACTGACATTGAAATCCCTTTTGGAGATAGCATTTGATCCATTCTTCCCAATATTGCCATTGCCGCAAACGCTCCTACTCATAAACAAGATTTGATTAAGAAACCAAAACAAATGGTATTAATTAAACTCACATTTTTGTTAAGGGTCTAACCAAAAGTTATGAATAAGATACAAAACCAAAAATATTACATCATGACAACATGGTCCGCAGAAATTCAGATCAAGTTGAAACTATAGATGGGTAATTAACTAATTTATAGCTGACACACAGATGAATATAGTTTCATATTGATTGGATGAAGTCAGCTATAAACCTTGAATAATAAATAATATAAGCTCTCTGTCAGCATAGGGTTTGACTAAACGCAAACTAAGATTCTCTCACGAAGAAAAAATAGAAACAAATGAGTTTGACTACATGCATATTTCCCATCATTTAGGTAATTTGCAAACATAGTCAAATACAACATGCCACGATTCAAAATTTTTACTTTAACTAACAATTACTTAATCTTTGGATATATTTATGCCGTAAAACTTTTTTTCCATATAATATATATTTATAATAAAATTATCTAGAATTCTTCGTTCTTACACTAATTTTAACATTTATTCTGAAAATCACACCTTTTAGTCAAATACTAGTTCAAGGTAAATTCGATGAATTGGTCAAACTCGAACGGTTTGGTTCATATGAATGACCATTTGGCCTTAGGAAGAGACACATTCTCTCTTTCTGACTCTCTCCATATTTTGTCGATATTCATCACTTATTCAGTCAGAAATTAATATTATATAATTGTTCATTAATTTTCTAATTTTATATTCTTTTTTGTGCACCTCTTCCTTTTTTTTCCATCTTTTTTTTACCCTAATCATCTGATTGAGAAACCAAAGTGCATCAAAATTTTGAAGATCGAGAAAACATTAGTTAACGAATTATGATCTCAAAATATTTGCCAAAAAAAAAAAAAACTAATAAAATTGTGATCTTAAATTAGTAAATTAGTAAATAATAAATGACTAACCAGCTGCAGGCCAAATGACGTCACTCATCAACAGAGCCGTAGCCGCCGCCGTCTTATCTGGCTTCCACGAGTCCCACGACGGCGCCGTCAAGTTTCCCGCCGATGACACCACCGTACTTACTCTCCGGCGGTGGCTTAAAGACGCTGGAGTTCTCATTTGACTCAAGGATTCTTTATACGTAATGATCCCGAGAAAATGCCGGCTCGAAACGTTGGCGAGCATTGGAGATGATTTCGAAGCCGTCGTCGAGGTGATGTTCCGGCGAAGAAGAGGTAGTGGTTTCACCGGAACAGAAGCCATGAGAAATGGTCCTTTGAGGTGGAGAATAAAGATAAGACCGCTCAAAAGTGGGATTTTTGATCAAAATATCTTAGCAAAGGCTAAAAATACCGATTCTCTCTGTTTTCTTAGCCAATAGGAGAGAGACATATGATACATGTATGCATGTATTTATTTAGATACACACACGCAAATATGCGTATATTAGCATATAAAATATATTCTAGCAATAAAAATAGGTTTTTAAGATAGAAAATTTGTAAGCTAAATATAATCAATTATCTATATATTTGGTCAAGTTACAATATTATATTTTGGTTAAATTACGGAAATTGTAAAATTTTCATCATTTCTTTTTATTGTGTTGCTAGTTGCCTTTTAGTAGTTTTTTATATTCATAGAAATTAGTAGTATTAATACACCATATATGCAATGTACATAATTAGGTTTTCCTTAGTAATAGTTCTTTTAATCTCCATAATCTGTAGTTATTGACTCACTATGTCACAAAGAATCGAATCTTTCAAGAGTTACGGATCTTCTAACGATATCATTGCTCTTATGTAAAATTATATAATCAATTACTATACTATAGTGTATCGTATAGGGTAAGGCTTAAATATGTACAAAATTATGGTTGTATTAAACTATATATTTTTTAAAAAAAAAATTATAGATATATACGTACGTGTAGCAAACTAGCAAAGCACATAGGGCAAAAAAGCGTTGGCCTTTTAAGAGGTGGATGGGGCTTGAAGATGGTCGAAGTCTCTTCCATTAAACGAAAGGTCATTTGATTATTCAGAAGATAATATAAAAAAAATCCTGAAGAAAAATCAAGAAATGATCAACTCTAAGTCTTTAAACACAGCTTGTTTGTAACTAAATCTCAGCATTATCTTTTATAAGAACAAAATGTTTTTTTTTTCTTTAGCAAAAAAAAAAAGAACAACATGTTTTTTTATTGATATCAGTTTCCAAATTAGAAGATTTACAGAGAAATAGTACCATTTTCATAAATAATAGATAATTATTCAGAAATTTGAAAGTTTGTAGAGACTACGAAGACCGCATAAAATACAAATGTTTAGAGTAGCACCGTGGAATCCTTAATTTATTAGTGAAACCAATGAATAGTGGTTTTGTTGGTATATTTGGCATTAGTCTCTTATAGAATTGCAACATCAAAATTGTGATTTCAGATAACTTTTGTTATTATATTTGGCATTCATTTTCCGGAATAGCATAACCATAGAAATAATCATTACGAAAACAGAATCTCGTCAACAGTCTTGTTTAGTTCATACCAAACCAACAAAATTCTGCACTTGTTCATGATTCTCGTAGCAACGGTTGGCCATGGAGAGTCTTCTGCTCTTCAGGTTTGTAGACATAGGAAGCTGGTGAGAGTACCAGCTTTAATAGAGCTAAGCAATGTATGGTACAAAACGTAAGAAGGAAGCCTGAAGACATTAATAATCGATGATTCATTTCCGTGTCTTCCCTTTAAAAGACTCATAGAGATCAGCTGGTGTTAACACTGCTCTTTGCCTTGCATCGAAAATTTCATTACAAAAATCATAAAGTGCACAAGAACAATGCACACTCAATAATCTTTACTCCACCTTCCATTTCTAATTTACAAACAAATCCTCTCGATTCCAAATCACAACATTCATAACGCAGCAACAACAACGAAAAACCGTCGCTGGCCTAGTGATTTCTTGGTTACCTTTAGTCGTGCATAAGCCCTAACAGTAATCGGAATGAGAATCATCGTAGTAATCGATACCAGAAGAAGGCGACATGACTTCTTGCTCAAGCAACTGAGCCACCTGGTTCATAGCCGGCCTGTCCTCTGGGTTAGCATCCGTACATCTGGCTGCTATCTCGAGCAATGCCTCAACAGAGTCTTCGTCTACATCGGTGCATCTCTTGTCTATTACATCCTCTAATCGATTCTCCTTCAACACAGTGTTCATCTGAGAGAGAACATTTTATTAGAAACCGAATCTTGGGAAGTAAAAAACAGAACGATTCTTCTCGGATAAAAAATTTGAGGAGTTTTCTTACCCATCCGACGACATTCAAGCCTCTTTTGACGAATATCGGGTCTGTTGGTCTCTTTCCGGTAACGAGCTCAAGGAGAAGAACTCCAAAGCTGTAGACATCAGATTTCTCCGTTGCTCTCCCATTTTGCAGATACTCTGTTTCCAAGATTCATAAGAAAGTTAGAAACTTTAGAAATTATAGTCCAAGATTCATCACAAAGTCAGTAAATTTAGTGATTTGTTGTCCAAGATTCATCAAAGAGGTTAGCAAAGAACAGAACCTGGAGCAAGATAGCCAAAGGTGCCAGCTACCACGGTGGTTACGTGTGCATCTTCGTCAACAAGAAGCTTTGCAAGACCAAAGTCCGAGACTCGAGGTTCTAGTTTATCATTGAGTAGAATATTGCTCGATTTTATGTCACGGTGAACTATTTTGGGACTACAATCATGGTGCAAGTACGCTAGACCCCTCGCGGAACCTAGCGCTATTCTCAACCGAGCATTCCAATTCAACAAACCGTCTTCTTGAGCTCGTTCTTGAGAGATAAAGAAACCGGAAAAAAAAGATTAATACCACGCATCGCAGGCCAAAATGAATATAAAATATATATAACTGCATTTACCATGGAGAAGATCGTCTAAGCTTCCTAAGGTTAGATAATCATAGATGAGAAGTCTTGAAGACGGTAAGCGGCAGTATCCACGTAGGTTCACTAGATTGATGTGTTTGACACTACCCAAAATCTCTACTTCTCGCTCAAAAACTCGGTCTGATCCTTCTCGACTCCTATCTATCTTTTTAACCGCAAAAGTTCCAAGATCGTTCATCACCATTCGATAAACCGTGCCAAATCCTCCTGAACCCACAATGTCTTCCTCGTCAAGAGACTCTAGCTTCTCGATCAGCTCAGTCGAGGAGTATGGAAGATCACCATGGAAAGTAATAAGCTTTTTACCTTTTAAAAGACAAATGAAGAAACACAATTAAGAAAAATAATAAGCAGGAGGAAGAAAAGAAAATTAGTTTTTTTCTTATATGCAAATTTTTTACTTGTTTCGGATGGATCCTTTTGTTTCTTGACTTCTGTGTACTTCTTTACTGTTCTTTCCTTCTTTGAGAGCATCCAAATCCATAGGAATACAAAGATCACAATGAATGCAAGAGCCATTGTAGACATTGCTCCAATCAAAATTCCTTTAATCAAGCGCGATGATCGCTTTGGAGGATCTGTGTCGATTTCAAAAGTGGAATCAAGAATTAGAAAGTTTAGTCAAGGGAGCCTCAAGATGTGATGATTGGCTTGAATAATAAGATCTTGCCTGATTCATCAGCACTTTCTGCATGAGGAAGAACTACAGGGAAACCCATCGATGATCTACATGGCTTGCGAATTTGCCGGCCACAAAGATCCAAATTACCGGTAAATCTAACCATAAAGACACAAAAACAACAATCAGAAATAACATCCTAGCCTAACATAAGCAAGAAAGTCTTTCTTAAATTCTTGATGATGTTAAAACAAGCAGTTACATAGAAGAGGAATCTCACGTTTCGACCCCGAATCTGCTGAGAACTCCAATATCCGGGATCTCGCCAGAGAAAAAGTTGGTTGACAAGTTCCTGAATCAAACAAAGAGTTCAAGAGCCAATACATTAAACTAACAAATCTTGCACAACTACATCTAAACACGGGATTCCGTTTGTACTTACAAGGAGCGTAATCGCGTCAATCTACTAATTGAAGAAGGAATAGCACCCTTCAGTGTATTGCTTGATAGATCCCTGAAAATATCCCAAACAGAAAAAATTTCTTTAAAATGATCAAGTAGGAAAAGAAGTAAAAAACTGAGAAACTAAAACAATTTGAATCTTACAATATAGTAAGAAATGTAAGGTTGCCGAGATCCGGTGGAATCCCGCCTTGAAGAAAATTTGCCCTCAAATACCTGAAAGCATGTTTAAACAGATACACCAATGTTCATGGCTCAACACTAACCAAAGGTTTGACATTCCCAATTATTAAAAGGTTACTGCTAAATTGCAAAAATCTGACATACATAGCTCTGAGCTCAGTGCAGTTGGTGATTTCATTAGGAATTGTCCCGTGTAAGCTGTTCTGATGAAGTGCCCTACATAACTCCCACCAAAATTGGATTAAAACAAGCTACTTAAAGAGACAAAATTTAGCATAAAAACCAAATCTAATACTCACAGTCTCTGCAATCTACTAAGCTTTCCAATGCTAGGAGATATTATCCCTCCTAGTTGCATGTATGGTAAGTTTCTGCATAATCCACAAAAGAAAACATAATCAAGTAAAGAAAGAATCGAAAGATTGAGAACTTAGTAAAGAAGAAGAGGATTTTTACATAGAGACAACTCTCTGGTCTTGAGGATTACAGGAGACACCAGTCCAAGAACAAGGAGACTCATCTGAATCTTTCCAGTTCTCTAAAGAGTTCCTAGTATCATTAAATCCACTCTTCAATTCCAAAAGAGCAAATCCTGCAAACATCAAGAACTTCGTGAGCTAGTTGAAAAACCTGATGATCAAATCTCAGATTTCTCACCAACCAAAAAAGTTATGAGAAAAGTGGGTTTTGACTAACCATCAAGAGTGAGAGCAAACGAGCACGAAACGAAAAGGGTAGTTGCAGAAATTACTGAGAAAACCCAATTTGAGATACCCATTTCACTGATTCCACCGATTCCAAAAGAGAAACTTCCTAAGGTTCCAAATAAGAAAAGATGAGATTTTTTAACCCAAAAAGAGTGACCTAATTCGAGAATGGAGAGAGATTAGTAGTGATTGGGTGTGAGTAAGAGGAAGAAGACTCATGATGAAAAATCTTTACTTTAGTTTTTCCTAAAAAGAATTCTTTAATTTATCCTTTTTTGTTTTATTATTTTGTTTTTTGTTTTTCCCTCTTCTTTTCGAGCTAAGTGAAAGGAGAGATTTTTCAAAATCTGTACCCTTGGAGAGCTGTGCAGTGGAGAGAGAGAGACCCGTTGTGAGGAGACATAATTCAAAAATCTCCGTGCCAATCAAAACACTCGCGCGTATGGTTTTGAAACTAACTCGCTAATTTTTAATCTAAATGTACACGTGTCCTTTAGTGGAAGCGAGTAATTTAAAGATTGTACCTGAGTCGCGAGTGAAAGTTATCTAATACTGTGTCATTTTTGTATTTACTTTGTCTGAGACTGAGACATTGGAAAAATAATGTGTAATCTGACAAAATCTACAAGAGTATTATTAACACTAATGTCGTCCCTATTATTTCCAAACGTAATAATTTTCGTAGCAACATTATTTACTTATTTACATCAAAATTAAATTTCTCATATGCTTTTTTCCTCTCGAAGACTGTAACTTAATTGTCACGAAAATGGGCCGAGCTCATAAAAGAAATGAACAAATCTAAAGCCCAAAGGATAGTCAATCTTCAAGCTAGGCAGGTTTGGGGAATTTGGTATTGGGCCTTTAGGCAGTTTAAGTGTTTAAACAATCGAGTTTTTGAACAATGGTTTTAAGTTTTAACATAGGATGGATTATGGAAATTGGAAACGCTCAAAATTCAAATGAATGATACCAGAGGCGCTAATATCGTTAATGTTTCGTTATGACAAAGAGGCCATCACTTTGTTTTTTCAGATTAGTGATAAATTTGATTTGGGGTCAGATAAGGAAATGGGGTCACAAATCCTTACCTTAATCTACGTCTAGATCCCTACCTTAATCTCAAGACCTAGAGGAAGGCCAAAGCTTGAAGATTTCCGAAAATCTTCATAGAAACGTCACAGGCAATAGCTTAAAAGAAGATTGAAACTGAAGACCATAACGAGATTAAGAACAAAAGTACATAAACATCAACCAGATATGTCAAATACAAGCAGAGAAAAAACCTGCAACTGGTAGTTGAGGTTTTCCTTTTTTAAAAAAAGAAAATAGTAGCAACGACTAAATTGTTTTTCTTAAAAGCAGTTTATAAACTAAATTACTCTTAGTACTCTTCCTCCTGTTGGTATTCACCTTCTTCCTCATCCTCGTAGTCACCTTCTTCATCTGCAGTGGCATCTTGGTATTGCTGGTACTCTGATACAAGATCGTTCATGTTGCTCTCTGCTTCTGTGAACTCCATCTCGTCCATTCCCTCTCCTGTGTACCAATGCAAGAAAGCCTTCCTCCTGAACATAGCTGTGAACTGCTCACTCACACGCCTGAACATCTCTTGGATCGATGTTGAGTTACCAATGAAAGTGGAAGCCATCTTCAGACCAGTAGGTGGGATGTCACAGACCGTTGATTTCACGTTGTTGGGGATCCACTCGACAAAGTAAGACGAGTTCTTGTTCTGCACATTCAGCATCTGTTCGTCAACTTCCTTGGTGCTCATCTTGCCACGGAACATAGCAGAGGCTGTGAGGTAGCGTCCGTGTCTTGGGTCAGCAGCACACATCATGTTCTTGGAGTCCCACATTTGCTGGGTGAGTTCAGGTACTGTGAGGGAACGGTACTGCTGAGAACCTCTTGAGGTGAGAGGAGCAAAACCCACCATGAAGAAGTGAAGACGAGGGAAAGGGATGAGATTCACAGCAAGCTTACGGAGGTCAGAGTTGAGCTGACCAGGGAACCTCAGACAGCAAGTCACACCAGACATAGTGGCAGAAATCAAGTGGTTCAAATCACCAACTGCACACAGAGAATAAACCAAGTATGTGTAAGCTATATTCATAAACAAACAACATGATGAGCACAGCATCAAAGCAGACAGTAAACTCTCACAAATCAAAGATCATCAATGAGTCATCCCTCATGTAACAATAAGTACCATATATAACTTAACCAGAAAGTATTGTTCCAGTCAGAGTAGCTTAAGGTCCTACTGCGGTGATGAGATCAAAATAGGTAACAGAGAATATTAAACAAAACCAATATCAACGCAAGAGGTTACAGGCATGAGATCAAGAGGCTACATGCATGTACAAAGACTGGAAACAGTAGCAACACAATAAGTTAAACACAGAGACTTGCAAATCAGAATTCAGGTACAAAACAGTGACATTATCAAGAGCAAACCATTGGAAACAATAACAATGCAATAAGTCATATATAGATACTTGCAGATCTGAATTTGATACCAATAATTGACATAATCACAATCTAGACAAAGCATTTCAGGCATACAACAACTAATCTCAACATCTGAAAAGAGCACAACTGGATAATGAAATCTTACAGCTGGGGGTAGTGAGTTTGAGAGTCCTGAAGCAAATATCGTACAAGGCCTCGTTATCAAGAACCATGCACTCATCAGCATTCTCAACAAGCTGATGAACAGACAAAGTAGCGTTGTAAGGCTCAACCACAGTATCCGAAACCTTTGGTGAAGGGAAAACTGAGAATGTGAGCATCATTCGATCTGGGTACTCTTCACGGATCTTAGAAATCAACAGTGTTCCCATTCCAGATCCAGTTCCTCCTCCCAACGAATGACAAACCTGGAACCCTACAGAGCAAATCTCACAGTTCAAACTCCAGTAAAGCATAATAAACCCTAAAATCAAACAGATCTAGAAGAATGAGATGAAGAAGATTTACCTTGGAGACAGTCACAGTTCTCAGCCTCCTTACGAACAACATCGAGAACGGAATCGATTAGCTCAGCTCCTTCAGTGTAGTGACCCTTGGCCCAGTTGTTACCAGCACCGGATTGACCAAAGACGAAGTTATCAGGTCGAAAGGTCTGACCGTACGGTCCAGATCTGAGACTATCCATAGTCCCAGGCTCCAAATCCATGAGCACAGCACGAGGAACGAATCTACCGCAACTGGCTTCATTGTAGTAAACGTTGATGCGCTCAAGTTGCAGATCTGAGTCTCCGGTGTACCTTCCGGTTGGATCGATGCCGTGCTCGGCGCAAACCACTTCCCAGAACTTGGCTCCGATCTGGTTACCGCATTGACCACCCTGGATGTGAAGAATCTCACGCATCTTCGGTTGAATGAAGAGATCTAGGGTTTTTTCGAGGCCCGGAAATCGAAATCGGGAGAGAAGAGAGAGCTTTAGGGTTTTTTTGAGAAATGAAAAAAGTGTGAGTGAGTGAGAGTTTTTATTATTGCTCTCTGTGTTTGTTTTTTTGTTTTTTTCCCCAATTATCTCTAAGAGGCGCCGATTTTGTTTTTTTTCGAAATTCAAAATTTTAAAATAGTCCGTTTCTTTCTCTAGTGTACAGTTTCCAAATTTTAAAATTATTGTTTTTGTTCTTTGACTATTAAACTGAGTTTTATTTGTTATTAAAATACAAATTGCTAAAAAAGAATGTTTCATTTTGTTTTTGTTTTTTAAGAGTTTCTTTGTAATATTGTGCACATGTTTGTGGCAGGCTTTGGGCCCATAATACATTAAGAGTTGCAGAAAATGAAATAATGGAAGAGCACATGTTATTTTGCTTGTTAACAAAGGGAAGAGAACGTGCTTGAAAAAGAAAATTTCACTTTATCCTAAACTATTTTATGTGGAATTGGTAAAGAAAATAAATAGCTTAAGGTTCCAACAGATGCACCGGCTAATAAAGTTGGTAAACAAAATAAATAGCTTAGAAACAATCCAATCAAACTAAGGTAACACTGGGCCGTGAGAACAAGCTAATAAATACTACTTAACAATCACTTTTTAATGGATTGGATTGTTTTGGTAAGATGTTTGGGTTTCCAATTTTGACTTGTAATTTGGGCCAACTGTTGATACAAAGCCCATTTAAATTATTTGACCAACAAGAAAGCGAAACAGAGCATGTAGCCAAATCGGTTTATTCGGTTTACGAATTCGAGGTACCGAATAAAGTCGGGAAATAATTCGGTTAGATTCTTACTTGGTTTTCTTAGAAGAATATTGGACTCAAATTGACCATAACCAAACTCTTTTTTATTACTGTATATAAGATTCTTCTTCAATTTGAGGTATTTTTTTCTTAGTTTCAGTTTACTTTATATATATTTATATTATTATTATATTAAGTATTAAATCAGCCGATTGAATTTTAAAAATTCCGACCAAATGGTTTTTAATCCGATGATTGGCTTTATTATTCGTACCAAAATTTTCGAAATCCGTATTTCAATATACTTTAGGAAAAAAACAAAGTTTGTACTATAGTTCAGATTTGATATAAATTTTTATTAATAAAAAAAATTCCCCACTCAGAAACAATGGGTTCAGAATTTACCATACTTATTCGTAATCCTGTCATCTTCTTTTCTGTTTTATTTTATTCTGCAGATAATCTTGGAATCTAGATAAATGGAAACGCATTACGCATAGGAGAAGTTGATATTATTGTTTATAATTCGTTACGATGACTTTGTTTGCCAAATGCCAAGTGATTTCGACTGGACCTTGCTGCTCCTGCTACTACCACTACTACTACTTCCGTCGTCATTTGTTCTCTGATCTTTAATATTCGTTATTATCCGTTTTCAAACATGTACACTTATTTACTATTTTTGGTTCTTTGTTCCTACACTTTGCGTTAATCTAAAGTCATTGATAACAACAACGACATGCAATTTAGTATTCCGTTACTTGTACAAGTTGAATTATTTTAGAATTTTATGTTAAAGAAAAAACAAATATTTTTTCAGTGTTAAAGAAAAACTAAGATACGTATGTAAAAGAATCCTTAAATAAGAAACGTCTGAACTTTACGAAAAACCATAATTGGTGTTAGAATAGCAAACCTATTAATTAGCATGTTGATATATACTATGTTTTGTGCGTCACATATTTTCAAGTATTTGCTCGATTTAGTTTTTTTTTCTTCCTTTATGATAACTGTTTTATCTCTATTTAATTAGTTATAAATCAATTTAATACTGAATTTTTACCAGCTAACCCGATTTAATAAACTAGAGATTGTAAACATTGTTTCGTTTTTGTTTTACAAACACATGGTAGTGGCATATATTCAAACTTTAAGAACAAAACATCGGAGTTTCTTCTAACGAGTACAAGACATATATACGTTTTTTTGTCACACAAGTACGAGATTTGTTAAAACATCATTTTAGTTATATATGTAAAAAGACCACATTTTTGTTAACGACCACATTTTCTATTAAAACAAATTCAAAGCTACAGAATAAAGAAGCTAACCTAGAAAAACGAGTTCAAAATCAACATATTATATGCTCTCTTTTATTTTATTTTTATTTTTTTTGGGCAAAAAAATATTTATATGCTCTCCTTGATGTCATTTGTGCAAGTTATTTTGGACCTCTCAAAGTGCTTACACGTGAAAGTTATACGCAATCATAAAATGCATATATTGCTTTCATTGTGATTAACAAAGTTTACTTTTGCATAATCGATGTGATGGATAATAATTATAGTCGTTTAAGAATTTGTTCTGCTTTAAATTGGACCAACGAAGGCAACGAAGCATAGAGTTGGTCCAGTACTTTTAATGGAGTAGGCACTATGCAATCTCATTATTATTAAAACTCGACATGTGGTTTAATCTTTAGAGAAAACAAATAAACATAAGTGAAGAGTGATAAAATTCTCTGTGGTCCTTGATTTTTCAGAAGGCCAATATAGAGTAAGAATCAGAACATTTTTAGGAAAATAAAAAATATTAGCGTGCTAAGTTTTTTAATTCTAATAATTGAAAAGAGAAAACAAATCAAACGAGCTTTTAGACTGTCAAAAAGAATTCAAGATACTAAAACCATTAAAAGTGAAAGTTGAGATGATTCCATAAAAGACTGAAGGGAAGCAATATCATCCATCACTTCAAGAATCAAGAACATGTTCGTTTGGTTTCTTTTTGTTTTTACTAAACCAGGCTAGGGCACTTATTACTAATTATAATTAAGATGGGCCGATTGGGATAACATTAAGCAATTAATACCAAATTTTTTATTCAGGCGACTAAACAATTATTTCAGTATTACTACTGCTTCTTTTTTTTTTTGTCAAAGAGTATTACTACTGCTTAAAGATATTCATTTTACTTATATATTTTTATTTTACCACAAGAATTCATCCTTTGATATTTACGTAATGTTTTTCTATGTCGTATCTCTCTCTTTAACTATATGTATACCACTTCTATTGTTTTAAAGATTGAGCAGAACCGTTCTCGCCATTTCTCACCAGCAATTAAGATTTTATCCAGCAATTAGGATAATCAATTTATGATATATCTTACCTACTTTCAAATATATCGTTCTGTCAAAAGTTAGAACTTAGAAGCATAATACATTCATACATATAACATGTTTGTCGTAATAAATTAATAATTCCATCAATAGCAATAGGTGTGTGAACGGAAAATAAATTATTAAATAACTGAACAATTCGCACAAACGAATCTATCGAAAGGCAGTGGATTTTGTATTATTGATAGGGTCTGGCGTTTGATATTATTTTTGCTAACTCGAATATTTTCTAACTAAAAGACCAAAAATATCTCTCAGGCATTATCTCCACTTTATCCATATTCATCCCCTCTTTAACTTTTTTTTTTTTTTTTTTTTTTTTTTTTTTTGAATAGTACGTTTTTATTGAAAATAACACCGATTGTTACAGGACTGACCTTACGTTACGCACAAGACAAACAGAGAAGCTTATAGCACGAGAGATACATGATCATGATGAATAGAGAGGAAAAAATATCAGTAGCTAAATATGCTGGAAGTTTGCAAACCAGAGATATAGATAAGTCTCATGTGTGGAGTTTGATGTCATGATGGAAGTTTTGTCCAAACCAGCTAGACGTCGTCGTAATAGAAGCTGGAGTTCACTCTTTAGTTGAGTTTCAGATTGAAATATGGCAGAGTGTAGTCTTGAGTTGCGTTCTCTCCATATGAAATATATCAAAGCATGGAACACTAGCTTACAAATGGCATTCAGTTTCCTATTTGTGGTAGGCTTCTTGATCCAATTTAAAAAAGTAGTAAAAAGTGGTGTAGGCTGAGGGACAAAGTGAGCAAAGAGATCCATCCATATAGCTTTGGAGTAGCTGCATAGAAAAAAGAGGTGATCCCTTGATTCGTCTCCAGAGTTGCAGAGAAGACAAGAAGCTGGGACAGGAAGGTTCCATCTCCTTAATCTATCTCTAGTCGTTAGGCGATCTTGGACCGTTAGCCAAGTAATAAAAGCGAGCTTTGGGATTTTTTCCTTGAACCATACCTGTGAATGCCAGGGCACCGGAGGACCAAGAGGATGCAAATGCCTCCAAGTTTTTGCTGAAGAGAAGGTTCCTTGAGTTTGATCAACTGACGTTTTCCAAAAGAAGAGGTCCTCTCCATCCTGAAAGGTGGGCGGTTGATGAGTAAGTAGGCAATTTCGGAGAAGAATTACTAACGGATGTCTCCCTCTTGGTAAAGACCAGACGCCATTATAAGCTGCGTCAAAGACTTTGCAGAGAATGCCAATTCCTGTGACACGAGGTCCAGCAGCACCAACTACATCAATAAGAGGACCAATTCCAGTCCAATTATCATACCAAAAGAGAGCGTCCCGACCAGAAACAACATCGCAGTAGATAAAAGGTCTAGCTAAATCCCGGATGTGTCTTCTAAGCTGGATTTATATCATTTTGAACCAATCTTATTTCTGTACGGTTAATAATACAACCAAAGCCCATATATATTTTGGATTATTTTACAAAGATTTTAGAAAACAAACAGTTTTTTTTTTTTGGGGGGGTTGAATATGTCGTTGACTTATATGTTGGGATCTAATTCCTCACAAGCAATATCAAAATTTAGTGTTAATAGGATTAGAAACACGCAAATTGATGCACGTTTTTACATTCAAAAAAAAAAAATTGATGCACGTTTTCACTTACATCTAATTGCCTTGAATCAAATCAAACCAAACCTAAAAGACTTAACGCTATATAAACCTATACCAGTATGTGAATCAATCGACATTATACCAACTAAAGTACCAAAACTTGGTCCGAACACAACTTTATGCAACTTCAAATATCTTTTGGCACTTTTGATATG